TACCTGTCCCATGTCCTGCATCCCACTCTGCAACTTGCCCCCCTGCCCTGTCCTGCTGGGACTCCATGGGAGCCAGCCCTGAGAGGGTGGATGGAAGAAACTGGTCCCCGATCCAGCCCGCAGATCTCCTGCCAGCTGCCCCTACCGACAAAGGAGCATTTCCCAGCATTGGCATCCACCCCAATCCCATTGCATTTTCTGATTGATGTCAGGATTGATGTGAGTGTGGATCACTCCCAGCCCGTGGTGTCCGTGTGTGCACCAGCTCCCGCCGCTGCCCTGAAGCCGCCGTACTTCAGCCAACACTGCCATAGGCGGAGGAGATCTCAGTTTACTGGAGCAAATGACCTTATGGGATTAGGGCCAGTAATCTTCCGATCTGGGTAATCTCCCTTAAGGGATTATTTGCCCACAGAAGTGTGGTGACCACCGGCCAGCCACTGCCTCGCTCCCTCCATCCCTGTCCCCTGCGCTCCCATCCCTGGCAGCCTGGAGGGGTCACATCACTGGGGTCACGACACACCCCTCGGGGAGCTCCTTGTCACAGGAGCCAGGGCCCCCAGCACTGGGGCTTCTCCTTTCTGCCAGCCTGTGCTCACTGCCTCAGGCAGGTCACTGGGGCTCCCTGCCATCAAAGCACCGATCTGGGACAGACCAGAGGGCCCTCCACCATCACCAGGGAAGCAGCAGCTGAGTGGGTGACAGAGGTGACTGCTTGGAGACAGGGCTGCATTTTGAAACCCAAGATGCTATTCCAGGGCTTTGTCCAGAGCAGGGACACAGCACATGAAGACCAGTGTCCCCTGTTACCCACCAGCCATGGGTGGGTTCCTGGAGCCCCTCTCCCACCACAGAGCTCACCCCGTGAAGGTCTGCTGGTCCTTGCCGTCAGTGCTGGATTTCCTTGCATCTCCCACACCCCATTACTCCAGCTCCTCTTGCTCAGGGATGGGTGTGGCATAAAGAATGGGACAACAAAAAACATTTTGAGGGGTAACATGTTTCCCTTCGCTCAGGTAGGGTCATTCAGGGCAGCAGATGGATGCAGGGCATTCCCAAGACTGGTCCCTGCCCAGCACAAACTGGGGGGCACTGGGGCTGGCTGAGGGTGAGGCAAGCTGCTGGGACCACAGCCATCTGTACTCCCTGGGGGTGGCAGGTCCTGGATGCTGAGCTCCGGATGAGCCACCAGCTGCACTAGAGGAAACCTGAGCTCACCACCCCACGCTCTGAGCGCCCTTTATGGCAATCTAGGGGGAAAAGAGGACAGAGAGGCCACCTGATGCTCTAAGGGCCCAGCTGCCAACAGCGGCACCGCGCTGGGAAGCGGCGGCGGGGAAGAGGAGGCAGACGGCGGTGCTGGGGGAGAGGGGAGGGCTGTGACAAGTCATAAATAATTCACTCGCGGGGGGACCGGGCAGGTCCCCGAGCCCCGCGGCGCTCCCGCCGGCGGCCGCCAGGGGGCGCGCTCCCCGGCCCCTCCCGCCGCGGAACCCTCCGGCGCGGCGGCGGCTGCGGCCGGACCCGACCGGCGGCGGACCCGGCGCGGCCCCGGTGGCGGCCCCGGTGGCGGCCCGGCCATGGCCCGCGACCCCGCCTTCGTGCTGCGCTACCTGGCCGAGGTGGAGGAGCTGGCCGAGGACGTGCTGGCGGCGCGGCAGCAGGTACGGCCTGGCCCCGGCCTCCCCTGCCCCGCCCCGCCCGCCGCCGGTAGCCCCGAGCTCCGGCCGCTCCTGCCCCTCTCTCTCTCTCTCTCTCCGTTCTCCCGCTGCAGATCGTGGACCTGGACGTGAAGCGGAACCGCAGCCGCGAGGCGCTGCGGGCGCTGCAGAAGGACCCGGAGCCCGAGGGTGAGGCCGGGCTGGCGGTGCCCGCCGTGCCCCCCGCGTGTCCGGGACAGGCTCCGCTGCCGGCCCATCCCGCTCCCGGTCCCATTCCCTCTGCTCCTCTCCCCACAGACAAGGCCATGGTTTGCTTCGGGAGCATGTTCATCGAGCTGCCGAAGGCGAAGACCCGGGAGATGCTGCGGCAGGGTGAGGCAGCCCCTAGAAAAGTCATAAGGTCATAGAATGGGTTGGGTTGGAAGGGACCTTCAAGATTCAACTCTTTCCAACCACTGTCATGGGCAGGGGCACCTTCCCCTAGCCCAGGTTGCTCCAAGCCCTGTCCAACCTGGCCTTGGACACTTCCAGGGATGGGGCAGCCACAGCTTCTCTGGGCAACCTGTGCCAGGGCCTCCCTACCTACAGTAATTAATTGTTTCCTAATATCTAATCTTAATCTACTCCCTCTCAGTTTGAACCCTTGTCCTGTCGCTCCATGCTCTTGTAAATAGTCTTGCCCCATCTTTCCTGGAAGTTCCCTTCAGGTGCTGGAAGGCTGCAGTCAGGTCACCCCAGAGCCTTTTCCAGGCTGAACAGTCCCAGTTCTCTCGGCCTTTCCTCACAGGGGAGGTGCTCCTGAAAAATGAACAGGGTTCTCTCCAGGGACGGGCTTTGAGGTGGGCAATCACAGGCCGATCTGGCTGTGCTGTGCCCTGGGAAGCACATCCAGCACGAAGCTGCCCACGGGTGTTGAGGGCAGAGTGGGATCCCCAGGGTGGGCTCCTGCACTCAGTGTCCCGTGGGAGGTTGATCTTCCACCCCAGAGCCCACTGCAGCCCTTCTCACTCCCGCTCTCTCATCCCAGACCAGGAGGAGCTGGATGAGGAGATAAACAAGCTCCGGAAAGATCTGCGTGTGAAGGTCAACCGCCTCTACGAGGCTCAAGGTAAATGCTCCCGCTCTGGACCCTTCTCAGGGCCTGACACACGTGTCAGGAAGGGCCAGAAATTCCCCAGCTCTGTGTGTTCCTGCAGCTGCTTGCCCACTGGCTTTGCAGTTCCCTCCCTGCCCCAGCAGCCTCGTCCAGCTCCATGAGGAGCCATCACCCACCAGCACCTTAAACAACCCCCCACTTCAGCTCTTAGGGCTGTCCCTGCCCTCCCTGCAGCCCCACTTGAGTTTAACGTGAACTGCTTTGCTTCTTTTCTGACAAAATCCTGTTTTTTGTGTGCGTTCTCCCAGGTAAACCTGAGCTGAAGGGGTTTAACCTGAATCCCATGTCTGCCGAGGAGATGAAGCTCATCAACCGCATCCTGGAGGGCTGAGGTGGCCGTGCCATTGTCACAGCACGTGTTTGAACTGCAAGCCAGCGGGCTCACACTGCAAAAGCCACAGCCCTCAGGGTTTGCAGGACATTGGAGGGCCCTGGGAAGCATTTGGCTCCTCAGCTACAACACTGCAGTTTCCTTGGATCACAGACACTTCCCTGCTCCGTGCTGGAACTCGGGTGCCAGAGCCGTGCTGGACACAGCACAGGGCAGATGCCCGTGGCTGGGGTGGAGGTGGGATCATTAAAATCAGAGCAGTGGGGCATTCCTGACTCCCATGTGTATGTTCCTTGTTGGGGGTTCATGGGAGCGCTTCTGGGGTTTGGCTTCGGAGCGGCTTCATTGTCACGCCGGGAACAGGAGTAGGAGGGATTGGGAATCCACCACATGCCTGAAGCACAGCAGAGGAGTTGAGTCGTGCACGCCCCGTGGCATTCAAACAAAGCAAAGTTGTAAATCTGAGGCACGTCAGGAATCTCTCTGAGATGTGGAGGGAGGGGCAGGAGGAGGCAGCATCCTTTTAGTCTTGCTTGGGGAAACATATTCCTCTGTTGGAAGGCAAGAGACAACAGAAACGAGGCTTTCAGGACTAGATGAAGGGATAAAACTGCATAGGTGTATTTTAAAAAGCAGCCTCAGGAGGGCTGAGCAGGTTTGTCTTGTGGTAAAAGGACAATTGATGTAACCAGTAATAGTTCTTCAAAGGTTTTTAAATTTACTACACTCCCTGCTCTGGTCTGAATGGGCTTCTCCTAGTACAGTTCTCTTAATTGCATAAGAAGATTTTTGAAAATTAATCACAGAGTTGGACTACAGTGAGTTTGATTTTTTCTGTCTGCAAGGACGTATCTGGGTCCAGCCAAGCCTTTTAGTTTTTGAACTTCTGTAAAGATATTCCTAGAATTTAAGAATTTAAACATGGCTGTTGTCCTTCTTTCTCCAGCTCTGGAAGTGGCTCTCCTGTTCTGTCAAACCTTGCTCGGGTGACAGGGCTGGGCCTGGTCCTTTGCTCTCCTCCCTTCTGCACAGCTGTGACAACTTCAAACATGGCACCACCATTTCCTGGGCTCCCTGACCACCTTCCAGCTTAGCAGGGTCCTCTCCTGCCCTGGCCAGTTCCACACACACTTCAGATTACGCAGAGTTCCAAAAAATACCCCGTTTCAGACCCCTTTTAACCTAAGAACCCAACCACCATTGCCTGGTCTTTTCCACACCTAAATGTGCCTCTGTCCACTTCAGGCTTACGTTTCAGATGCACAGAACTAAAAATAACGCAGACTTACTACCTGGACTGCCTTGCCTGTGGGTTTTTCAGAAGATTGCCTGTCTCCTGGGAGCAAGAGCCAGCTCACAGTGCCACATCCCCAGTGTCAGAGCCGCTCTTACATAACCCCTGTGGTGCAGCCAGTCCGTGGCTCCGTAACGTGATGGTGAGGTTATTTTTACAGTCTCATGGCAACAGGTTTTCTGCTCTGACATGTTTCCATAGTAGTAGCAGGAGGAGGATCAAGTGCCTGCCTGCCCTAAAAGCTTTGTTTTGCTGTGCAGAATGTGTTTAGCCCCTTTGTTTTCTTGCAGGGAACAGAACTGAGTTCTGCAGTGCAGAGGGCTGGCTGAGCAGCCAAGCATCCCTGTGTCAGCTAAAATGCCTCCTTCAAGCCCACTGCAGCTTCCAAACTGGGAAACCCTCAGAAACAAGGCAGGCAGTGGTGTCTGGAGGGAAGTGGGAACTACTGCTGCCCGACACGAGGGGAGAGTGAACTTTGTCCCTGCTGGTCTCTCCCACCCCAAGCTTGGGATCAGCACGACACTTCGTGCTGAGCAGGGAGATTCCCGAAAAGCTGCTTCAGTTGTCTCTTCCTGGCATCACAGCAGCCTGCCAGGAAAATGTTAACAGGGGAGTTCCACATCACCTGCCTCTTCCTGCCTGTAGAGGGGAGGTGATGTTTCACTTTCAGGTGATGCTGCCCTCGTGTTTTGTTAGTCAGACACCACAGCCAGAGACGATTGTGGGCACACTGAGATGTGCATGTCGAAAGGTTACAATGAGGTTACAGTGCCTGTCAGCACAGACAAACCAAGTACTACTTCCCAACAGTAAAATACACAACCAGCTTCAGGTAAGTGCCCAATTAACAGTCACCACAGCCACTGCAGGGTGTTTTCTTCTTTGAAAGCACTTGCTCCTTTTGGTCTCTTAATCCCCTAAGGGCTCACACTTCTCTTGTTGTCCAGCAGAGCTGTGTGCTCTCCTGCTGGCCTGCAGACAGCTTCAGGACTGAGCAGGGCACCTGCCAGCACTGGGTGAGTTCTGCACCGAAATATGTGTTTGCCATGATGCTCTCATTCACCAGAGCACCCAGATCTCCCCCTCTGCTGACAGGCCTGTCATTCCAGATCAGGTCAAAGCCTCCAACATGCTCCTCCTCCCAGGTCAGCCCACAACAAACCCACGGACTGAAGTACCTGAGCAAGGACAATTCCCCGTCTGCACACAGGAATCAGCTCCCAGCCAGCCACACAGCTGAAGAGCTGAAAGCACTGGACATCTCTCTGCTATTAATATCTGGGGTTTGCACAGTTGTAAAGTCAATCACAAAACGCTGTCAGACCAGCTGCTGGGAACAGAGAGCTCCAGCAGTGGCACGAGTGGGAGGCACAGTGCACAGGGACCTCTGACAGAGAGCTCTTGTGCAAGTCCCAGCTCTGACACGGGCTCCAGCCCCTTGGCATCCCCATACTGCCTTGTTTTCCCACTCTGAAGGGCAGGATGCTTCTTTACTTTTCTCTGCTTCTGGATATTCATCATTGAATCACCGTAAAGGTTAGACGGTTACGATCAGTTGCCAAGAGGGTCGTGGAACCAGACCATCCATCCCAAACGTTCTAATAAAACTCCACAGAAAGTGATAAACATCTTCACCTCCCTGCTCTTCCTGTCTACAAAACAAAGTGTGTCTTTGAAAAGATGACACTGGAGTTCAGTCTTCCTGGTTACTGGCAGGAGGGAAGGTAAAGCATTTACCTCCAGAAACCATCAGAGATTACAACAGTAAGTTAGGGGGAAACAGGTCATTTTGCCAGTGGCTCATTAAGAGAAATGCCTGCCCAAAATCATCACCCTGCTAGCAGGCAGGAATGAGTGTGAAGCAATAGGAAATCCAACCCTAAATCTCTTTCCCATGTTCCGAGCCAAAGAACATTCTGAGCTTATTGCAAAGTTTCTATTCCTGTTCTTGATGGTATTAAAGACAAAAAAAAAAAATCCCTTTGGCTTCTAGAAAGAAAAGTGAAAACCAAAGTCATGCTGAAGCAGTAAATGCTGGGAAGGATTCACAGAATGAGCATTAACCCTTTTTAATTGCAGATGTTGGTGTCTGCAGGGAGCAGGTTCCCAGCAGAGTGTTCACATCTCTCTGAGAGCCCAGCAGCACTGCGATGACATCAAGGACTTTCACTCCAATTAATTTCTTTCCTAACCAACTGAGGTTACTCCAGCTCTTTACCTGCAGGCTGCCTAAGCAGTAATTTTGTTTGAGGTTGTGAATGGAGTAGATTGTGCATGTTAGAGTTATCCCTGACCAAAGCTGAGCTGTATTTATTTGCTCATTCGAAATAAAGCTGTCCCCAGTGGCACCATGTGAAATATTGGGCTGAAGCTGACAGGACATAGAGCTGTAACAGATAACACCAGTGACCATGTCTTGTTAGAGGGAAGAGTTAAAAAAAGAAATTATAGAGACAACATTTCATAAGAGAGCAACATCAACCTAAATCACATCTAAGGGAAATTGCCTTACCCACGGTACTGCTTGCACTTTACATGATTAAGGCTGAAAGAATAATAATCCTAATTTTGCTTGTCATTTCTGTAGTAGTATTTGCTGTTTCTGTTCCTCTCAGCTCCTGTAATGACAAGGCAGTTGCACTCTTGGGTTCCTGCTGTTGCAATGCTTGGGTTGCGTACGTAGCAAGATAAAATTCTGAGAATTTCAGCTGAACTTTCAGGATAAATACTTTTCACTTAGTCAGGGAGAAAACCTGTATTTAAAAAAAAAAAAAAAAGTCAAATTTTGTTTTCAAGGGGTTTTTCTTGTTTTGTCACTTGGGGGTTGAGCTTTGTCTGAGCGGCTCCATCACCCACCTGCAGCCCTGAGACATCCAAGCAATTATACACAGCTATTCCCAGCAGATGACCACACATTTAGTCCATGTGATTTGTTTTCAACCACAGCCTCCACAGCCCAGTAAGAATTCTGAGTAAAAGGCCAGAGACCACAAGGTTGGGGCCACCAAGCCCATATGCCACCTAAACTCTCCAGGCTTGCCTGCTTGTACAGCTGCAGGAGAAAACAGTCCCCAAGTCCCCATCAGAAGTTCCCCAGCAGCACTCAACATCCTCTCTGCTCTCAAGGTGCTGGAAAGACTCTCCTTTCCCTGCTGACAAGAGGGATTCATAGAAGGGAGCAGCCCATAAAATGGGGAGTTCAAGACCATCCTCTAACACTGATTTCCATCTCAGATTCACGAGGAATCTGACATGCTATTTAATATTTCCCCCTCTCTCTTCCTCTCAGCTGTCACCTCTTGAGAGGCAGCTTCACAGTGACAGCTGTGTGCAGCAGTGCCAGCCTTGCTGCACCTCTGAGGTCTCAGAGACGAAGGGCTAAGCTGTGTCTGCCTCTCAGAAGTGCACTAACCAGAAAGTTGTTGGGTTTAAAGTCAAAAAGATCCACCCCATAGATGCACATTAAAGCAGAACACTGGCCCGGCCTCACTCCCAATGCTGCTACCAAGGAAATCACGTGGATGGGTGTCAGGAGAGGAGGCAGCACAGTTAAGTGGCTGCAGCACACGTGGCAGCTGGCAGGGTGAGGTCACCTTGCCTGCACCTGCCAGAGATCCCAACAGCAGGCAGCAGGGATAGCCTGCAGGCAGCATGTACCCCTCACCTGCCCGAAGTCAGTCAGGTGCAGCCTTTTGTGCTGCCACCTTTGTGACTGGAACATCTGGGATGAAGCAGAGACAAGGATCCAAGACAAGCAGACACTGCTCAGGCAAACACACAATTCTCACTCCAACAGTTCTTGTGTGCCTCAGCACCAACTAATTATTTTCCCTGTCTGTTCCTAACTTTTTTGGCCCTGTCTTCAGACACCTGAGCTGAAATCCAACACTCCATTATGCCATCTGACCAAAAATTGCAGAAAAAACCCTAAAAATCAGAAGTAATCAAGAGGGGTAACTAGAAAAGGAAAGAGCATTTTCCTGAGCTAGTACTGCACCTCATGGTGAGGTACTGGCACAGGTTGCCCAGGGAAGCTGTGAATGCCCCAAATGCCCCGTTGTGATAAACCAAACTTTGCTTACATAAATTAGTTGAGCCCTTTGATCTATTGTTTCCCTGATAACCTGGGACTGATGTCTTCAACGAAGTGTTTCCAGACAAAGGAAAAGGCCGATAAGAAGCAGATCCTTCGGAGGTGGGGTAATGTTTGTTTTCATGCCCATTTCCTCATCTGACAAGGCAAGCTGCATCTTGCAGTGTAAAATTCCCCTGCCAGAGGGTGTATCGAGGCATTTCCCCCCTAGGACTGAACTTATATAACCTGTGGAAATCCTTGTCACGTGAGCCCCCACTCCCAACAGGTCACGAGTGTGACCATCACTCATGGACATCAAAATTGCAATGATCAAGTCATCACTGGATCCACGGGTGGTGAAATCTTTCCTCTTCACTATCTACTCTTTCCTCAGTGTACCTTGCTCCTAAGGCAGCCTGCTGCACCCCCACTCTGTAAAGGCTTTTGATCATTCAGAGCCAGCATGAACTCTGCTGAACCTCCACAGAGAGGAGTGATGGATTTTCCTGTCTCCTCAGCCATCAAATTGAGGTGGCATACCTTTTGGGAAGATGTGTTAATCAAATGAAAGCTATCAAACTCAGTACAGCAGCAAGTGTGACACATCGGAAATCAAATAGTTCTCCCCCAGTGAATCACCCTGTCCTTACGTTCTGTGAACCCGAGGAAGAAGAAAGGCTGCCAAAATCCAACCACTAACAACAAAACCAGGAGTGACATTTCAGCTTTGTCCCGAGCTGATTTGTCAAACTGACGTTTCCAGTGATCTGGTGACACCAGTTTTCCAATGAAAAAGGACTGGGGAGAGACAGGATGACAACAGCAGCGACGGGACAGCCGAGTCCTGCAGGGGTTTGCAGGAGCTGGAAGTGACAAGGTTCATCTGATGGATCTAATACTGTACAATCCTTCTCTTACCCTTCTGTATGGCACAGACAGGCAGGATACAGCCATCACCTCTGCTATTCTGAGTAAATCCTGCACTAGAAAAGCAAGCAAATCCACCTCAGTACAACCAGGCCTTCAGAGGAATGTACTGGGAGAAGAGGAAACTGGGCATTAAGTGAAGGAAATCCATTATTGGTATAATAGCCAAATAATATTTGCACTTACAGCTGTCGCTAGAACATAAACTCTCATGTCAAACTTTCAACCTATGAAGTGGAGAGAAATCTTAGAATCACAGAAAATCCTGAGTTGAAAAGGACCTACAAGAATTAAAGTCCAGCTCTTAGTGCTGTGCAGGACCACCCCAAGAATGTATAGTATAAATATATTATAAAATATATGTATATTATGTATAAAATATATTTATATTACATATATCAATGTAGACTATACCCCAGTTTCTGCCTGGTGTTTGATGTACCTGAGACTGAAAGTTTATATATAAATATGAAGTGTAAGAAGTAGATCCCAGAGGAAGTATCCATTTTAGAAAATCCACTGTAAAAGCCTTTGTTGTTGCCCTGGGGAGTGGTGAAGGAATATTGCAGGACAAGGGCACAGGAGAACAGACCAAGCCACTGGCAGAAGGAGAGGATGAAATAAAAGCAAAAAGAACAAAATGCCCTTTGGATATTCCTGAAGAAGACACAGACTCATTCTCACCTTCTTCAATCAATTATATCCTTCAGTCTTCAGGAACATTTCCTCACCTTGTGACTTGCCAGCCTACAGATGGAAGAGCAGAGTTAGTGGCGTGAACATTAGCAATTCCTGCGGTTTCTCAGAACTTCAGTGCAGAAGCCCTGCATAACCTGATTCATCCGCTGTTTGTGTGCAAGCACGTTTATTTAAGTTTATGGGGGCAGGGGAATCCAACAAAAAAAAGCTCAGATTTGTGTTTGGAGGATTCCTGGAGGAAAGGCAGCCTATGGGGAAGTCCCACAGCACCGAATAAACAAACTCTGTCACGCGCTTCCAGAAATACACGTAACGCAACATATGTTGTTGGGAATTTTAAGTCCCATTTTCAATTTGTGTATGTTATAGAAGAACTTAATTAAACAGGAAAGTCAAGAAAGATATCGGGGAACTATGGCAAACAAGAGCAGAAAAATCCCAAAGATAGCCTTGACCGCACGTGGTAGAACAGAGGGTGAGGAGTGGCCCGGATAAGGCACCCAAGGAGCACAGCTCTCCAGGAACACCTTCCAAAGCAGGTCCTGCTCCCTGCAGCCCCAGGATGCAACACTGGGCATGTCCTGACCTACTACTGCCTCTGAGGGTGGGAGTGGGCAACTCGGGACATCACAGCACCAGAAGGAGTTTATTTTTACTTGCCTGCGAGTTTTGAGGTCAGCCACGAACTGTTTATGTTGTTGGTATAATTTCAGTAATCACAGGCTTTTCATATATCCTTGTTTACTGTGTTCTGGTTATTTACCGTGTTAATTGAGGTTGTGGGGCATAACATCAGCTTAATATGAGGGTTTTGTTGCCAATTAACACATTCCCATTTGTAGAGTTGGATAATCACTAGCTGCTATCCTCCCGGCTGTAATTCACATGTTAGTTTGCATAATTACCTCCCAGTCACTTCTCACGAGGGTAAGACAAATCCTCCTGTCCCAGCCTCCTCACCAGACCTGCTGCACAAAGCACAGGGACTGCTCACTCGCAGGGCTCACGGATGGGTGTGTTTTTAATCAGGCACTGTGGCACAACACTCAGGACATTAAAGGGCTGAAGCCTCCAGCAGAGGCAAGGCATTTCTCAGTGTTGCTTTGTACTGCCGGTATTTCTAAAGGAAGCACAATTTTTCCTTAATCCCCAGGTCACTGGCTGAAGTGGAACGTGGTGTGTTCAGCACAGCTCCAAGCAGCTGCAGGTTTGGGGGGACAAACGTGATTCAGAGCACAAGGCTGCCCTTCATGTCTCTAACTGCAGAGCTCATTCCAACCAAATCTACCCCAGCCTGTACTCCAGGCTGCTAATGGATGTCCCATCCCTGGAAGTGTCCGAGGCCAGGTTGGATGGGGCTTGGAGCAACCTGATGTAGTGGAAGGTGTCCCTGCCCATGGCAGGGGGGTGGAATGAGATGGTTTTAAAGGTCCCTTCCAACCCAAACCCTTCTGGAGTTCTCTGATATGAGTCTTCTGTAATCTCTTCACATTCTCAGGGTGGAATTCCACTCAGTAAGCTTACAGCAGACTTACACTGGCTGACATCTAATACAGTGGGATTTCCCTAAAACCAAGCGAATGTTTTCATAGCTCCGTCTTTAGGGGCTGCCCTAATGCTCATTAACCAGAAGCCAAATTAACCACCTGCCCTGCACATCGCCCCCCACACACACCTTCTTGCACACCTGCAGCAGAACTGAAAGATTCCAGAGCGTGAACTCGGCCAGAACCCCACAGCCAGAACCCCTGGGAGCACACACTGTTCCTTCACACCGAGCTCTGCACTTTATACCTTCACCACTGAGTTAACTTTGGCTCTGTAAATAAACTGAGATGACTTTCCGCTGCTGAAATAAAGTGTTACACAAGAAGCAGTGTTTTGGTGGTGCATGTTGACCAGGAACCCGGCCAGGAGCACTGCTGCTCCATGGCACCTTGCTTTGCCCAATTCTTCCTGCGGGTTTCCTGCATATTTTCCTCTCCCTCCACAGAACGAAGGCATCCATTCATCTCTCACTTTCCTTGGGAAAGCACACACTCACCAGCTTCATAACCCAAGTGGTGCCAGGGCTCTTGCAAAATTCTTCCACAAACAAGTAGTACTCTGAAGGCATTTTGAGGGTCTTCAGAATAAAGGCACATTTTCCTGCCTCAGGCTTTCCTGCTTCCCTTTCTAACTAACTGCTTCCAAAACCTCTTCAGATCTTTTTTGAAGCAGCTGTTCTGACTCAGCTGGGTAGAAAGAGAAATATAAGATTCAGCACAACAAATGCTCCCACAGTCTGACTCACTTTAATTACCCTCGAGAAGTTTCTGGGGACCAACTGCACCACATACTCTGAGGGGAAAAATAAATAGGGATATCATTGAGAGCTGCTTTTTCTTCATGAAGGAGGAGGCTCAATTTCGATTTTCTGTCTCTCTGCACGGACACGGGGAGCTAGAACAGAGCAGGTCTTACAATCCATGTTCTACTATTCCTACCGTAGCTTTTCCATGCAGCTAGCACCTGCCTCTCCAGGGCAGGCAGTTGCCCACAGGAACCCTGCAGCAGCTCAGCCCCACCACTCCTGAACCACCACAGGTGTCAGTCTGGCATTACAAACCACCCTCAGACTCCATTCACAGAGTCAGAGATGCTTTGGCTTGGAAGGGACCTTAAAGACCATCCCCTTCCAACCCCCTGCCATGGGCAGGGGCACCTTCCACTAGCCCAGGTTGCTCAAATGCCATGGCTGGTGCAGGGAAGGGCTCCTGGTGGGATCACATCCTGCTCAGCTGCCGTGCTGCACGGACACAACACCCAGGACAGGACAGGGAGCCAGCCAGGGGAGTTTTAGGTTGGACATTAGGAGGATGTCAGAAAAGGTGATCAGACATTGGAATGGGCTGCCCACAGAGGTGGTGGAGCCACCGTCCTTGGAGGCGTTTAAGGAAAGACTGGACATGGCACCCAGTGCCATGGTCCAGCTGACGTGATGGTGTTTGGCCACAGGTTGGACTCGACGATGCCAGAAGCCTTTTCCAACCTAATTAATACCGTGATCCTCTGTTACGTGATCCATCTAAACCTGCCCGTAGCTATCAAGGATACTCCCCGTATGAGGTGGGAAGCCCGGGCTTTGAGGCTGTGCTGCACGGGGAGCGGCTGGGCCTTAACACGCTGCCCGGGGGATGTGCAGGAGCAGGGACACAGCGCCGGGAGCCCACCGGGTCTGGCTGCGACCCCCGACCCCGCTCCCGTCCCCATTCCTGACCCCGCTCCCGACCCCCCTCCCGTCCCCATGGCAACCGCGCCGCCGTGCGCCAGGGGGCGCGCGCGGCACCCGAACCCCGACACCGCCCCCCCAAAAATCGGCCCGAGGTCCCCCCGGCTCTGCCCCGACCCCCCCGGGGCACCCTCGGCCCGACCCTCCCTGAGCTCTGCCCGCGGCTGGGCACGGGCAGCGGGAACCCCTCACCCCTAGCCCCCGCTGGCGCGGCCCGCCCCGCTGCCCTGCAAAGTCGCCGGGACTGTCACGCAGGCGAGGCAGGGACTCTGCTGCACCTGCCTGCAGGTGGGCACGGGCGGGGTGGGCAGGGGTGGGCACGGAGCAGGCAGGATAAGGGTGGGTATGGCGCGGGCAGGGGTGGGCACGGCGCGGGCAGGGCAGGGGTGGGCGCGCTGCCGGGCGCTTCGCCGCGCGGCCGCACAGACCTTCCTTGATGGAGCAGGACAAAGGTTTTGTTCTTCTCCCAACAGTGCAGCCTTGTGCGGCCGCGGGCAGCGGCGACAGGCAGCAGCCAGCGCGGCCCCGTGCTCCCACGCCACGGCGCAGGGGGGGAGTTTCTCCTCCTTTGTCTGCTCCCGGCCAGGCAGCTGCCGGTACGCGGCAGCGCCGGAGCAGCCGGGGAAGGGCCTCGGCAGGATCCGTGGAGCACGGCGGCCGCGGTCCCCTCCGCCCCGGCACAGCCACCGGCCCGGCCCCGCCGCGCTGGCAACGAGCAGCGACCCCGGAGGACCCGAGCTCTTCATGACGGAAACCCGACCAGGGAGCGGGGACGGCAGCCGCGCCCGGGGACGGGGAGGACGGCAGCACTGGGGACAAGGACACTCGCGCCCCGTCCCCTCCCCCGGCGCCCGCGGTCGGCCATGGGGAACGGCATGAGCCAGGTAACGGGGGGCGCGGAGAAGGCTGCTCCGCAGTCCGGACGGGGCCGGAGGTGGGAGACCCTCACCTGGCGCCTGCCCCTGCCGTGCCAAGCGGCGTTTCACCTCCCGGTATGGGATCCGGCACAGAGCTCGGCTCTCAGGCAGCTTGTGTACCTGCCAGCAGAGCGGGTAAAACCGGAGGAGAAACACAACGGGACACTGCGCCAGGGCCCGTCCCGACAGCTGCTTAGGGGGTGTGGAGGGCAGGGGTCACAGCGAGCCCCTTCGAGGGAGGGAGGGAACCTTTCCCAACATCTTTAACCCCAAGGAACCAGCTCCAAGCACACACCGGGAGCCCTGTGAGACCCCGATCCTGGTGGTCCCACACCCCCTGCTTGGTGGGGCCAGGCAGTGCATGGAACTCAGCATCACTACTAGGCAGAGGGGGTGGGCGCTGTTTTATTCATGTGCTGCCCCGTTTTCTCCTGCAAGGAGCGGGTCAGCAGGGTGCTGGGGACAGGCACGTGCTGTTTATTCACGGTTCAGTGCCCTGCCCTTGGGAGCTGCCCTTGCTAACTGGCTCTCTCCCACCGGTTCCTCTCAGTGCCGCAGCTGCGAGTTAAAGGCACCCCGTCGGTAGAAAATGGATCTAAAATCTTAGGAATCATTAAAAAAATCCAAACCTCTTTAAGATGTTCAACCGAGAGAAACATTTCCTGATGGGAGAAGTGAGACCAGTGTGAGCCCAGCTGTGCTGGTGGAAATCACCTCCCCTTGCCCTGGGCACCAAACATTGCTGCAGGGAGAAGCTGGGGGAGAACCGGCGGGATACAGGATTGAACAGCCCTTCACTGCCCGGGCTGTGAGTGAGGGAGAATATAAAATAGCTCCGTGTCACAAGGGTTGCAAGGTGTCCTGCTTCTGCATCTGCAATGCTGTTAATAGAGGCCTTGTCAAGTAATTATCTTTTCATTATGAGAAGTGGAATTTCCCAGGGGAAAATGAGCTGAAGGCACGGTGTCCAGAGCAATCTGTGCCTGGGCTGTGAGAAATGGGCTCCCTGCAGTGCAGAGTGAGGGGAACAGAGCTTGGGGCAGGGAGGGGGACAGCCAAATGCCCCCCAAGCATCTCTGTGCCTGTTGCTTTCCTATCTCTCAGGCAGCAGGACTTACACAGGTCATGGGTATAGTCCAAGGCTGTACAGAGGTGTATGCAACTTGCTGAGCTCAGGTAATAAACCCCAACGGTGGATTTATTGATGATAAACAAGAGGAGCAATAAAAAAACTCCATGTCTGACTGCCAGCACCCATTAGGTGCAGCATCAGATGGCTGCAGGTGCCAGGGCTACATCCAGCCCCGGGTCCTGGACGCCAGGGCAGCATCAGCCCTGGGAATACACAGGTCCAGCCTCACCACCACCATTCCTGCCCTGGGGCTGGTGATGGTCACCTCAAATGCCAGGACTTTGGCCCCTCTAGCCAAGGTTGCTGCTTCCCACAGGGGGTCCCAGCATGCTGGGTACCTCAGCACAAGGTCACTGCTCACACTGCCACTTCCCCTTGTGTTCCACAGATCCTTCCCGGCCTCTACCTTGGGAACTTTGTCGGTAAGCGGAACCCAGATGCTGCAGAGATGTCCTCCAGCTGGGGAGTGGGGCTTGCTTGAGTTGATGTCTCCCTGCCTGCAAACTCTGCCTGACACCCTGCCTGCTCCCACTGCCTGCTCCCACTGCCCTGCCATCACCCACCACCCGCTCTGCTCTGCCACCTGGTTTGGGCTGGCAGCAGTGGAGTGGAGGCACGGTGGGGAATGCAAGGCAGAGACCCTCTGCCTTTGTATGGTTACCTGATTTAAAGGCTGCCCTGAGCTCTTCGGACACACAGGGTGAAGGGGCCAAGGTGGGGGGAAAGGGATCCTGTGCTGGGAGCGGAGGAGCTGGTGGTGTCACACCAGTGCGAGGAAGCAGGACTGGGGCACCTTGGGGTGATGCTCCCCCGTTTTGCAGCTATAGGAGGTGGGAGGGGGCTGCCCACCCTCAGGAGGGAATTTCTCCCAGAGGCAGAGTCACCCCTTCTCCCACCAAGTCACTATTCTAAGGGGTTGGCATTACCAGGGAACAATTCATGACCAAGGCTTGGCATCTGCCATGAAAAAACAGCATTTGTTAGTACTCCCACCTCCCTCGTGGGTCCTTTGGCAGCTTGATTCCTGCAGTAAGCTCTGGGAAGGTTTAAAACCACTGGTGTGAATTGCTAAGGAAATGTCACCGGAATGGCAGCCCTGTGCTCCCTGCACCCCATGGAGCACCTCAGGGTGGGCTGGGGTTGGCTGTGGCTTGCTGGGAGCAGAGGGACAAGGGCACCCAGCTCCCAGGTCCATCACGGGGGTTCCTGTGAGCAGCTCTGCTGTGGGGTCTTGGCCTGATGCCACCTGAGCATCGCTCTGCCAAGCAAGCCAGGGTGACAACAAGATTCCAGGCCTGCAACATTAAGCTCAAAGAGATGTTTTCTCTAGCTGGAAGCTTTTTCAGCCCCTGTAAGCTTTGATTCCACTGTCTACTTGCTGTCACTGCCTGCCGAGGGAGATCGGAAGGTGGTGGGTGCTCTGTGAGTCCCCACAAGGGTCCCCACGTCCCTCCCCACATGCACAGCACAGCTCCCCCACGGAGTGTCTCCCTCGAGACTCACTCCTATTAAAATTCACGTCATGCCATCAGCTCATCGCGGTCTGGATTCCCGAGCCAAGGTTTTACACCACGTGAAGTTAAAAACCCCAAAGGAATGAGATGGGGAAATGTTCCTCCTCCTCCTGTCCGGCCACTCCTGCAGCATCCACTGGTCATGGCATGAAAGGGAGACATTTGGAAGTTGCCCAGGAAGAGGAACATGCTCTCCTCCCAGCACAGTAACTGTTGTGCTGCACCAGAGACCAGGATTCACAGCCAGGGTGCTGAAGGGTTAACATGAGGCAGGGCATATTCCCCCCAGAAAGCTGAGGACACCCCATTCCTGTCCTTATGGCTGCAGAGAGGACGCACCAGAGCACTGCTCATGTGTTTTCTACAGAAAACCAAGAGTTGATGTGAATTCCTGCAGCTCCACTTCCATAGTTCACAAGATAAAGCAGATCCCTCAGGCTGCAGCAAGTCCCAGCGCCGGGTGTGTCTGCCCAGGGAGGTGCAGGCAGGGCTCGAGTCTCCTCCCAAACTGGGGACAAGTACAGGCAGGAGGGACACTGCCACAGAGAGTGTTTCTCTGCAGGTGTGAATGCTTCCCCCAAAACATGCAGCAAGGGCAAGTGCCTTTACAGGGAGAGGTCTGTGGTTTGAGATCATGGGGTTTGCATTCCACATTTCCACGTTTGCCCATGTCGGCGCTGCTGCTCGTGGGGGTGGGATGCAGTTGATGTGCTGGAGAAAGGCTCTGAGTGTTGCCTGGCTGCAGGAGCATGGTGGGTGCACTGTGGGAAGAGAAGGGTAAGAAGTGAATACACGTTGATATCTAATTTTATCCTTTAGATGCCAAAGACCTGGAGCAGCTGAGCCGGAACAAGATCACCCACATCGTTTCGATCCATGAATCCCCCCAGCCCTTGCTGAAGGTAGGATCCTGCACCCGATACCATCATGTAGATCCCTGCAGCTCCTTCCATGCTGCATCTTCCTTCCCCCTCTGAGCATCCCACAGCACGTACACCTCTCCCTGGTCACTGCTCCCAGAGGAGCCGGATAGCCCTCCTGGCATGGGAAACTGGCTTGTGACTGTAACCCGGCCTTGAACACTGACAGGAAACAATTTCCAGCTTTCCAGCCTCATCTTGTTTCCCATCCCCTCCCACGAGTTGCTGGTGTCCCCCTGCCCTCCCCTTCACCCAAGGGAGAGTGTGGCCCCATCCCCACCTAGGGGGATGCTGTGCGGGGGGAGTGAAACTCCACAGGCAGCTCTGGGTGAGGAGCAAAGGTCCTGCCAGCCCAGCTGTGAGCACATATGACACCCTGACTACAGTGCCTGAGCTTTTCCTCCTCCTATTGTGTCTTCCAGGATATTACCTACCTCCGCATCCCCCTGCCTGACACCCCTGAGGCCAACATGTGAGTACCCTGAGGAGGCCAGGGAATGCTCGAGGGCTGGGGTCTGCAGGGCAACCAGGGGTGAGGGCTCACAGCACCCCAAGCCCTTGAGGTGCTGCCTCCAGCTCCTCAAGCACAGCCACCCACAGGCTAAAGGTGTGATGCTACAGTGCTGGGGACCACCCCTGAACCCCAACAGCATCCCAGTTCAGTGACCACTGTGCATGGCTCCAGGCCCTGGGGTGAGGCAAGGGGCAGCCCCTCTGCAGCACCCATGGGCAGGAGCAGTGAGCATCCTCCCAGGAGCTGCCTGGAGAAGGGAGAACAGGTAAAGGGTGAGGAGCCAGCCAAGAGTGCTGGAGTAGCTGAAGGTGTGAGCAGCCAACATCCCACTGCCCCAGCACAGAGTCACACGAGTCACAGGGCAGCCCCATCTGTCCCCAGCACAGCATCCCCTGCCATCCCCAGCATGGCATGAGCTGGCAGATCCACCTTCCCTTGGGAATCAACAGCACTGAGATGCTCAGGTCTCAGCAGTGGCTGGCAGAGCCCCTCGGGCAACTCAAACACGCAGAGCTATTCTGCCTGTGGCCAAGAATCCTGTTCCACCCCTGAACTTCTTATTCTGTCTGGTTTATTTTTCCTGCAGCAAGAGGCACTTCAAGGAATGCATCAGTTTTATCCACCAGTGTCGCTTGCATGGAGGGAACTGCCTCGTCCACTGGTAATGCTTCTTCCCCCGTGCCTTCTGCCCTGTCCCCCCAGCTCAGCAGAGATCCAGCCCCTCACTTTGGCTGCAGACCCCTGATCAAAGCCAGCCTCTGCCAGAGGGCTCCGTGCCCACAGATCCACCCAGGATCCACCCTTGGCTGCAGCTTGTGACTCAAATCCGGCGGGATCCAGGCAGTCCTGGAGCCAGGGCAGCTTCTTGCTGCAGCTGAGCGTGTGGGATGAGCGGGGTTTGGGGCAGGCAGCCAGGCAGCAGCCACTGCTCCCATTCCCTGGGGAGGAATGGGTATTTATAGGCACTGATGGCCAGGACCTTGGAAGGGCTCAGACCTCCAGGAGAGCGAGTCCTTGGAAAAGAGGAACTGCTACAGCTGAGGCACAGGGGTGGAGGAAGAGGCGAGCGTGTGTGTTCGGGGTGCACCACCACCCAAGCCCATCTGCACTTTCTCTTGCCAGCCTCGCTGGCATCTCCCGCAGCACCACCGTGGTCGTTGCGTACGTCATGGTCGTCACGGAGCTGAGCTGCCAGGAGGTGCTGGATGCCATCCGAACCATCCGGCCCGTCGCCAACCCCAACCCTGGCTTCAGGCAGCAGCTGTCTGAGTTCGGCGGCAGCGCAGCCCGCAAGGTGGGACCAGCCTCTGCCACCTGTGCTCTGCTCTGCTGAGCCTGCCACGGGTCTCAGAGCAAGGACAGGTCCTGAGGGCACTCAGGTTTCTTCCCCACTCCCTTTTCCAGCAGGCTTGGACCTGCCCTTGGAAACTGGCAGCTTATTTTGCTTCTCGCTCCTTCCCCAGGTCCGCAGGCACCTGAAGCAGAGGTATGGGACATCCCCTTTCAATGATGAGGAAGAAATAAAGGCCTTGCTGCCAGCAGGGAGAGAAGGAACATCCAGGACAGAGGGAGCTCAGCAAGGACTGGTCCCACGAGCCAGAGACATCAGAAGCACGAGTCCCTTCCTGCTGCGGGTGAAGAGGACGTTCTCCTGCATCCCGGCTTGTCTGAAGTGACCCCAGCCAAGGGAGAGCAGCGGGAATCACCCAACAGCCTGGGAGAGATGAAGGACAAAACACAGTGGGATGCGGAGCACTGGGCAGGGACCTGCACCAAGCCCATCTCCTTCTTCTCTTCTGGGCTGGGAGCATGCCACCCTCTGTGTGGGTGGGATTCATGGGCACTGCCGGACTTTGCAGCACACGCTGGGCTCATCCTCTTCGCATCTGGCATGCTGGGGACGCGGGTCTCTGCCCCCAGGTCACTGCAGGCTCCTGCACAACACAGAGGGGGTTTCTCCTGCCACGGGCCAGCACCCAGGTGTTGCCAGCAGCAGCTTTAGCACTTGGGTACCCACTGCACAGGCCTCAGGGTGCACAGGGTGCAGGAGAGCTGGCGCTCCCCTCAGAGCATTTTTCCCACCAGCAGCACAAGCTCCCAGCATCCAGGTGGCTGTGGAGCAGGGACACACCAGTGTGTCAGCAGGTAATGCCACCACGCTGCCTCCTAGGTGAGGGTCCGGCTCCAACCTGGCCAAGCACAAGCCCTGAGCAAGCACTGTAGCTTTAGGAATCCATTGCGCCCCATTCCTGCCCGTCCCAGGGCACAATCTGCAACAGGTGGGAACCAAGCGTTTAACCTGGCCAGACCTCACTAGAGCCTTAAGCCATTTTGCTTAAAGACTTTCTATGTCCCCGAGTAATAAACATCCCTTCTCTGCCGTCTGACTCCCCTGTGGTTGGCTGGGTTGGAACAGGGATGCTGAGGAGGAAGGTCCTGGTGTGGGGTCCCCCTCTCCTCCTCTCAGCTCCTGCTATTCCAATTCCCTCGCTTCCAGGCCAGGGCTCTCTGGCACCCTTTGTCCCCCCAGCACCTGCACCCCAGGACCACACACCTGGGATGGACGTGTGCCTCATGCACAGCTGCACCTTCCCATTGCTGGGACATGCTATGCCAAGGTGCTTACACCCAGGGATTCCCCTGTTCCCGCTGTAAGCCACACAGGGCCCCTCCAGCCCAGCTCAGCAGCACAGTAAAATGTATTTATTTTGGCAGATCTGGTTTGCACAACTTGGAAAGCCCCGGGCGAGGGCAGGGTTAGCTATGAGTTAATGTTTGACTTCTTTTTGAAGCTCATTTCTGCGTGAAAAGTTTAACGGTTAAGCAGCTTCACCTTCCCTGCGCAGGGAGCAGCACAGTGGGGAATCCGGTGTGGAATCCGGCTCCTGATCCTCCTCGCTGATGCCTGGGTAATTAGATCCCCCGGGGTCCCGCGTCACCGCGCGGCTGTCACAGCACATGAAATCCCCGGCCGATAAAGCTTATCCCGGCGGAGCTGGGGCTGGCAAAGGAGCCGGCGGCTGCGATTATCTCCCGGCCTTGAATGTAATCTCTGCAAGCCACTGAGAGACTGTGCAATGACCCCTTGCCATTGCTCCGCTTCCCAAGGCAGAAAGGGGACGTGTGGATCCTCTGTCCGTCAGACCCAGGCCCTTTTCCCGGAACGTGGCCCCCCCGGCACGCCCAGGAGAGAGAGGTGCAGGGGCTGCCTGGGCTTTGCTCTGCATCAGAGGGGCCCCGGACAGTCTCAGTAAGGAGAGAAAACCCCTGCCTGCGTGGCTGGGTCATACACCCGCTGTGGCCCCATGTGCCCTCTGTGCCACGTGGCCATGTCCCATCCCCACGTCCTTTTGGAAAGCCCGCGACTGGGCGCTCTGCCGCTGATTATTCATTTGAGGCTTTGCAGCCCCAGCAGCTCTCAGGAGCCGCGTTTCTCCTCCCTGCGAGAGGTGAATTTCTCTGACTCAGAGCTGGAGGGGCTGCGAAAGGTGGCCGGGGGGGCTGCAGCAGGGCAGGGGAGCTGGGTTTCCCTGCACAGCGACATGGGGCTCTGCAGCAGTGATGGAGGAACCAAGACTAGCGTCACGCCAGGGTGGTCCAGAGACTCAGCCCGTGCCCCGCTGGGGGCCAGCGGGGAGCTGGTGCAGGATGAGTCAGGCTTCCTCCCCGGCCCCGGCAGCCCTTGGCGCAGCTCATCCGCCCTTCCCACCCTGTTCCTGTACGACTCAGGGTACAGAGCCCCGCGGGGCAGACGTGAGCAGAGACGGATAAGAGCAGAGGAGAGATCTGAGAGATGGGAACATGTGACTGCTCACACCACCCTGGAAACCCTGTGCTGTTCCCACAGCTCCCCGCAGCTCCCCGGGATGAGCTGCTGGTTCCAGGGAGGACACGGTCCCTGGGGCTGGGAGGTGTTTAGGTCGTCGAAGCAAGAGGATGGGGGAGCAGGGTCCCTTGTCCCCTTCAGGGAGCAAGTGAGAGTACTAAAAGTCTAAGGGGAGGCACCCGGGAGGGGTACAGAGGAGTTCCACGTGCTTTCTAGTGCCTTTTCCCCTCTCCCGTGGACGCAATGTGCCTGTCCCCTCCCCTGCGGGTGCAGGGTGCCTGTGTTGAGAAATACGCCCAGTGCGAGTATCTCCGTATGTAAACTACCAGTGTGAGCTGCACATTGTGTTCTGGGTGACAGGAAAAGGCTGAGCCTTAGGTAACAGCAGGGAATGGGTGCCCACCTTTTCCCTCCACCTGCGGCACCGGCTGGGCTGGGGGTTCATCACCCAGGACTCTGCAGGAGCCAATGAGGAAGGGGAAGAGCCTAAAATCTCCACTGGTGCACGTGGGTGCCCAGACTGTGAGGGAGTGAAATCCCGGGGATGCCTTTTTTGGGGTCCCTCCCGGCGTCACACTGCTGCACTGCTCAGTTAACTACACCACTTTTTCCTGAACTCGGATGTCGGACACTGCTGCGAGAAACCTGAGGCAGGGAAAAAAATTTAAGATCCGTCCCCTCCGTCGTGGGGCAGCCAGAGCCGGCGGCGCGATCCGGGAAAAGGAAAGTGAAAGCCGGCGCCTCTTTCGGTTTCGCCGCCGGGCCGCGATGGCGGAGCCGGGGTCGCCCATGCGGCTGAAGGAGTGGCTGATCGCGCAGATCGACAGCGGCCGGTACCCGGGGCTGCGCTGGGAGAACCGGCACCGGACGCTCTTCCGCATCCCCTGGAAGCACGCGGCCAAGCAGGATTACCGGCAGCAGGAGGACGCCGCGCTCTTCAAGGTACCCCGGGCTCCCCGCGATCACCACCCGGCCCTGGGAGCGCCGCCGGGACTCGCCCCCGGGGCTCCGAGGGCGCGCCCGGAGCTCAGCATTGCCTGGGGCTCCTCGCTGCTCAGCTCCATGTGCTCTCCACACCCCCCAGCACCAAGCTCCCCACAGCCCCCCAGGACACACAGCCCCGGTTCCCCACTGTACCCCCCCCCTTCGAGCCCTGGTGCATTCATACCGCGGAGGGCCCCCTTGGGCAGCGGAGCGGGGGGCCAGGGTGTGGGCAGCCCCCGCAGCACATGGCACCCTCTGTCCCTCAGGCTTGGGCCGTCTACAAAGGGAAGTACCAGGAAGGGACGGACAAGGCCGACCCCTCCACCTGGAAGACTCGTCTGCGTTGTGCTCTCAACAAGAGCACCGACTTCAAGGAGGTGCCTGAGCGGAGCCAGCTGGATATCTCTGAGCCTTACAAGGTGTACCAGATCGTGAGTGACAGAGCCTGTGATGCAGGTACGTCCCTTTCGTCCCTCCTCTTGTGCCAGATGTGGGGTTGCTGCCTGCACCATAACTGTATGAAGCCCCGTGTCCCACGTGTCACCCTTCTTTCCTGCTCCTCTTCCTCTCTGGGTGTTCTGGGCAGCCAGCTGTCTTCCCTGGGGCTCTTCCTGCCTTTTGCCAGGGGTTCATCGGTTTTTCCTTGCTCTCTGCAGAGGACAGTGACACACAGTCCCCAGGCAGTGAGGACCAGCAGGTGAGCTCACCCTGTGCCATCTGGGCAGGGGAGAAGGTGGGACCCCCAAAACTCCCCTCGTCTGTCAGCTGCTCTCCTGGCTGGACACTGTCCCTGTCTGTCCCATGGGGCATTGCTGAGAGTCCCCTGTGCCACGCAGCTGCCAGACTCAGGCAGGGGATCTGCTGGTGCATGGGGTCCATGGCAGAGGCAGGAGCCAGCTCAGGGACCCCTGCTGCCAGCTCAGCCCTCACTGAAGCCACTCCTACCCCCAGGGCAGCACTGTGGGGAGTCTAAAGAAGGAGGAGAGCCAGAAAGACACGCTGGAGACAGACCACGGATCTCCACAGCCCCTGCACTCTGCCCATCCAACCGAGAGAGGTGAGGAGAGTCCCTGCTGATGGGATGGGGCTAGGGGCAGGACAGCACACACTTTCTGGCAGGAGAGATCCTGCTCTCCTGTCCCCTGTGCAGGCAACACCTGTAGAGATGAAGACAGGGGCTGGGAACTCCCTCCTGACCCCAGCAAAGCCACTTAATCATGTACTTAGGGGCTCTTATGGAGCCCAATAATGAGCAAACATGGTGCAAAGGACCCTGCTGCCCTCCAGGCCAGGAGAGCACCTGGGAGTCCCTGAGGACAACTGCCCACGTCCCTTTACCATCTCGTCTCTACCCTGGTCCAGGGTACCTCTTGAGGGGAGTCTTCTGTGGCTGGAACCCAACCCATGGCCAGCTCCTCCCTAGACTCCAGTCCTACCTCCCAGTGGAGGATGTCAGCAACCCAGGTAGGAGCCACAGTGGTGGGCAGTGCCTTGGGTGGCCCCAGCAGCCCGGGCTGCCTGCAGGCTGACTCTCCCCTCTCCCCAGATTACTGGCTCCACATCCGCCTCTACTACTGCAACGTGCTGGTGAAGGAGGTGACCGCCCGCACGGCCGAGGGCTGCCGCATCACCAGCCGCACCGTGCCAGCCGACAGCGTGTGCCTCTACGGCCCCGTCTGCATGGAGCAGATCGAGTTCCCCCCGCCACAGGCACTCAGCGGCCACGGCCACGCGGCCGCCATGGCCGGCGTGCTGGAGCGGCTCCTGCCCCACCTGGAGCGCGGGGTGCTGCTGTGGGTAGCGCCCGAGGGGGTCTTCATGAAGCGCCAGTGCCAGGGCAGGGTGTACTGGAACGGGCCACTGGCCCCGCACAGGAACTGGCCCAACAAGCTGGAGAGGGAGAAGACCTACAAGCTGCTGGACACACAGCAGTACCTGCAGCGTAAGTCCCGCCCGCCAACCCAGGAGACCCTGATCCCCTCGGGATGCCCTGGCAGGTCCTAACCTGGCATGGCTGCTCGAGGCTGTGGGGACTCCCTGTCCCCTGACAGGGTTGGTGTCTTGCAGAGCTGCGGGAGTACCTGAGCAACGGGCAGCTCATGCCGCAGTACCAGATCCACCTGTGCTTCGGGGAGGAGTACCCCACCAGAGCCGGGCAGCCCTTCCAGAAGCTCATCATGGCCCATGTGAGTACACACCGGGGCTGGTGACCCTGAGCTGGGCACTGGGACCATGGCAGTGGGGGTTACAGACCTGTGCCCACTCTATCTCTCTGTGCCTCCACAGGTGGAGCCGGTGTTCGCACGGGAGCTCTTCCTTCATGCCCAGCGCTTGAGGCCAACGTTGCTCCACAACTCCCCCCAGCCCTGTGCCCCTGGCACCTCCAGCACCGTTATTCATGTTCCTGTCAAACAGCTCTGCCAGCCCTGAGCTAGGCGGGAGAGGAGAGCTCAGTCACCATAAAGTCTCAGAGCAGGAGGCTCTGGTCCCCACGGCCTTACTCCAGCTGCATGTCCCAAGGCAGAGTGCACAGGGTGGTCAGAGTGAGGAATCAGATGCAGGCAGGTGCTGGCCAGGATGGGCAGGCACTGCTGCCCCCGTGAGTGCTGTATTTATTGCCCAGGAGCTCCCCAAGTGGGATTTGCTGTGTGCCTGTTCAGCCAGTCGAGGCAGAGCCGGCTGCATCCTTGCACTGCCGGGACTTGCCGTTTGTGAAACTTAGAAATAAAGGTTGTGTTTTGGTACCAGTGTCAGGGGCTGGCTCTGGTGTGAGGGACTGGTGGCAGCATGAGGGGATCACAGGGGGCTGGGGAAGCCAAATCTGCACAGTGTGGGCAAAGCCAACTCAGCCCCAGATGCAAGGGAACAGCCCTGTTCTTGTGGTGGCTCCAGACCTGTCCTGCCCCTCATCTGAGCGCCTTGGCAGGGCTGAAGGCAGCAGCGAGGTGCTCTACTGACCTGGCAACATGAGAGCCTGTCCCAAAGGCACTCCCTGCCTGTGCCTCAGTTTCCCCTGGTGAGTGAAGTGAGTGGGCTCCTGGGGGCCGTGCTGCACCCTGAGGGTTGGGAACAGTGCAGGGACCTGGCACAGCACAGGGTCTGGCACAAGCCCAGGCTGAGAGAAGGGGCTGAGGCACTGGGGTGGGCAGGGGGCAAATGGGCATCTGAGGGCAGGGCAGCACCCTCAGTCCTGCCAGCATCCCCCCACTGAGCCCCACTCCAGGCCCAGCTGGAGCCTGGCTGTGCACTGTGAGCAGGGCAGGATGAGAACCAGGTCGTGGGAACCTTCCGTGGGAAAAGGGGCTGGGGGAACCGGGGGCTGTGCCCGCCTCTACCCTGGGGAGGCCGCGGCTGTGCCAGCCCCGGGGCCACTGGCTGCCGGCCGCAGGTCTTGGCGGCGCATCCGTCCGTCTGTCCACAGGGACCAGTGCTGGACGGCAGAGCCCCGCTCCGCCCTGGGCGGCCCCTCAGAGGAGGGGCCCGCCGCCCCCTCGCCGGCCGGCGGGTTTTAACGGGCCGTGCTGGGGCCGTGCGGCAGAGCGGGATCAGCGGGATCAGCGGCAGGGCTGGAACGGCAGCGGCTGTTCGGGAGGATGCAGCCGGACCTCCCCGTCAGCGACGCGGTGCTGCGCAGCCCACCAGCCCCCGAGCCAGCCGGCGGCCCCTTCCCCAGCACTGAGGCCACCAAGCCACCCTACAGCTACATTGCCCTCATCACCATGGCCATCCAGAGCGCGCCCGAGCAGCGCATCACCCTGAGTGGCATCTACCGCTACATCATGGGCCGCTTCACCTTCTACCGCGAGAACAAGCAGGGCTGGCAGAACAGCATCCGCCACAACCTGTCCCTCAACGAGTGCTTTGTCAAGGTGCCCCGCGACGACAAGAAGCCGGGCAAGGGCAACTACTGGACCCTGGACCCGGACTGCTACAACATGTTCGAGAACGGCAGCTTCTTGCGGCGCCGCCGGCGCTTCACCAGGAAGAGGGGCCTCCGGGATGCACCAGGCACTGAGGGGGACGAGGGGCGCGGGAAGACTCCCAGGCAGCGGGCACGAGGGCTGCCTGCCACCCCACTGCCAGAGGAGGGGAAGGCAGAGGGGGGCTACACATCACCAGCAGCCACGGGGCGCCTGCCGAGCCCTGCCACGCTGTCCGAGGGTGCCGGGGTGCCAGGGTGTGCCGAGCCCTGTGCCCGGCGTCAGCCACCCAAGGCCACGCAGCCCTTCCTGTACCTGCCGGACTCGCCACAGCCCAAGAGGCCATTCTTCACACCCCCTGAGAGCCGCCCACCCAAGGAGACTGTCTTCGGGGGGCTCCCGGCAGCGCTGCAACTGCCCCGTCCAGGTCAGTACCCGCTGCCCGGCGAGCGCCCGGCCCAGCACCCTGCCCTGCTGCCTGCCCTGCTGCCCACCCAGCACAGGGACCCCCCACAGGACTCACCGGCCACACCAGGCACCCCCCCGGGGCAGCTGGAGGGCGAGGAGACGGCTCCCCCCGGGCTGGGGACAGGCCAGCCATTCGGGCAGGTGCCACCAGCGTTCCCTGGCACCCTCCTGAGCACAGGCAAGCCCCCTCCGTCCTGCTTCCTGGAGGGAGAGGGCTACATGCAGCCATCCCTGCCCGTGTTCGGCTCCTTCAGCCGGACGGGCCCCGAGGCGCTGGGCAGCAGCTACCAGTGCCGGGTGCAGGCGCTGAGCTTCTGCGTGAAGGAGCGGCCGTGCGGCACAGCGCTGGAGCATCTCCTGGCTGCAGCCCCCCCGGCCCCCGCCGCTCCCCGCCAGCCACCCTTTGGGGCCGTGGGGCCACGGGCGGGTGAGCAGAAGGAGCCCTGGGGGCCGGGGGCTGCGATCCCACTGCAGGGGGCTAACGGCTACCCCCTGGGGCTGCCCCCCTGCCTCTACCGGACACCCGGCATGTTCTTCTTCGAGTGAGGGACTCCCCACCCTGGTACGCTCCAGCACCCAATAAAGCGCATTCCCCAATGCTGCCTCTGTGGTCTCTGTGCCTCACTCGAGGTGGGCAGGGGCAGGGGCAAGCTGGGGACCCTCTGCCCCAGCCCAGGTGCTGGCTGGGGGACGCACATCCCCAAGGCCACCCAGCGCAGCTCCCATCCCTGCTGGCCCCTCCACTGGCTGGATAGTAAGGCCATGGGGACACGGGGCACGGCCTGGGTCAGGGCACCTACATCCCTGTGTCCCTGGGAGATGCTGGGGAAAAGGTCCTGACACAGTGTGGGGCCAGGAGCCCCTGAAGGCCCATGCCATGGTAGTGTGAAGGAACATTGTCCCTGGGGGTCAGGGGGATCTGCTGCAACAGAAGTTATCCCCCAGTGGAGCCTCGCTGTCACTTCCCTGTGCCTGGGACCCTTCCAAGTGCTTGGCCTCACCCCGGGTGCCACACATGGCACAAATGGCACCAGCCTCACTGTGAGGCCCTGCTCATGCAGCTGTGTGGCCCCAGAGAGATGCCAGGGAGGCTCTGGGGGTTGTGGCACAGTGTGAAGGCTCTGCTGGAGGGGAGGTCAGGGCTTCCTCCCCTCTCTCTCCCTGCTTGTGGCTGGGATCCCAACTAGTCCCTGCAGACCCTGAGGCCAGGGCACCCCCAGAGATGGGCTGTGCCAGGGGCTGCAGCTCTGGTGGGAACGGCCAGGAAAGTGGATTCCTCTGACCTGAATCACGCTGGGCAGCTGCCAGTGAGGAGGCACTGGCTGAGTCACCGCTGTTGACATCGGGCTGGGCACAGGGACCTGCCCAAGTCAGCCAGGCTGTGGGACACAGGAGCGGGCAGGGGTCCCCATGGAGCCCCAGGATGGGACCTGGCCACCAGCCCTTTCCCACACACTGCTGGGACATCCCAGGTAGCACCTCTGCAGCAGTGGAGCAAGGCCAGAGTGATGCTGGCAAAGTGCAGGGCTGTGCAACTGTCTCCAGGTTGGGAGAGTGGGTTCCCCAGGAGCAGTGACCCCACAGCACAGCCAACCCCAGGATACAGGGCTGACAGGAGCTCTCCATGCTGCTGTGGGGAGTAGAATTGTGGCAGAATCCCCTCGGGCCCCCAAGGCCAGTGGGACACCAGCTTGGCCAATCTTGGGGGGTCTCTGTGGGGGCCATGCTGGCACAGAGGCACAACACTGCCGTCACTCGGGGACCGGGAGCACCGCGGCCGCGTCAGCCCTGTTATCAGCCCCCAGACGGCTGCTGCTGGGCCGTGGCTGTGTCCCAGCCCCGGGCAGGGCAGCGGAGGGGGGCCTCCCTTCGTCATCGGGGACGGCCACTCAACCCTGGGCCTCTCTTTTCTCCCTTTTATTTTTTTCCTACCCAGTGGAAAACAATATTTGAGCGCCTACATCATGCTGGCGTCTCCGGAGCGGCGGGCGGCGAGCTCGGCTGACCTCAGCCCCCTCCTTTGCTCGGTCCCCGGGGGCGCGGGAGGAAGCGAACGCCGCAGCCGTGCCCAGGGGCCGTCTGGTTCCCACGCAGCGTGGCCGGGCCCATCGCCCGCCCCGGCTGGGAACGCACAGCCCCGGCCTCACGCGGTGCCCAGGACGGGGTCCCCGTGCTGGGAGCAGCATGGTGCACCCCATTGCCCAGCCCAGACTGGGGCATGGGGACCCCCGTTCCTCACAGCCTGCACCACCCGGGGCATGCAGATCAGAGCTGTGCACTCTCTCGGTGCTCCCCTGCCCCAAGGCCACCCTGACTCCTGCTCAAGGACCCGCTGCTCTCCCAGCTCTGCCTCCTCCCTGGCTCGCTCCTGGCTCGCAGTGGGTGGCCTGGCCCTCTGCCCACTCGCCCGCTCCCATCCTGGGCTGTGCCGTGGCCAGGACTGTGCTGCACCCAGTCACAGCGCGAACCTGCTGCTGCTGCTGCTGGTGCTGCCAGGTGCCAGTGCCGAGGACTGCCCACTCCCCCTGCCTACCCGTGATGCCTGCAGGGCCCCTTCTTTCTGCGGGCAATGTGGGTGCCACAGAGATGGGGTAGAGGCCCACCTGGGGAATGTGTGCTGCTCCAGGCTCTGGGGATGGATGCTGTGGACATGTGTGCACACCCAGACTGTGCTGTGCATTCATGGGGGTGACAAGGACCCCACACGGGAGGGATGGAACTGGCTGCCATGGCCTGTGCTGAACAAGGAGCAGCCCTGTCACTGTGTCCCTCGACCACTCCACTCCCCAGAGCTTTGGGTCCTCACAAGCTGTCCTGCCTCTCAGCTGGGAGCAGGGGATGGGATCACAGCTACTTCCATGGGTGTCAGATCTGTGGCCCTGCTCATCCAGTCTCAGTGGTCCCATGGTGGGAATGAAGGGGCTGGAGATGCCAAAGCTGGGGTGTGGGGTAGAGTCGCCCACCCTGGGATGTGCTGGTGCCTGTACATCCCTGTGCAGGGCTGTGAGCAGGAACTGATGCCCCAGAGCAGCTTGAGGTGCCAGGAGTGTCTGGGGGCAATGATCCATCTGGGAGCCCCACGGCCACCCTGCAGCAGGGCCCTGCAGCCCCTGTGGCCGGCCAGGGCCAGGACGGGCGATGCGCAGCTCCTGGGGCCAGACAGGAAGGAGACGTCACCGCCGCGGAGCGTAACTCAAACCAGATGGGGCTGCGCTGGCGTCCAGGCCTGCGGGGTGGTCACCGACAGGAACCGGTCAAAGGCTGCCGGCAGGAAGCGGCTGGGAGGGACGCCCGCGGTGGGAGCCGCAGTCCGGGTTCTGGCAGCCTTAACCACTTCGGGGCTGGCCACAGACCCCCTGGGCAGAGGGGCAGCGGCACCCACCAGCCCTTGCCTGGGCATCCCACCCCCTGTGGGCAGATGCTGAACCTGTGAGGACACCTCTGACTCACAACTGACTATCCATCCACCTATCCACCCATTAATCTATTTCCCCTTTCCCCAGCACAGCTCAGACCTGGGGGGTGCAGAGACCAGGACCCCTCAGCTCTGTAGCTGCACTGCCCTCCCTGGGATATACCAGGTGGTCCCCATCCCTGCATACCCTCTCCATCCCCTCTACCCCAGGGATGAGATGCTGCTTCCCATCCTCATCTCGCTTACCCTGTGGCTGCAGGACTCCTGCGGGCGGGAGAGGGGCTTCAGCCCCCAGAATAGCAGGTGTGGGCTGTATGCAGACCTGTACATTTATTTACAAGAAGGCAAGCGCCGGGCAGGGCTCCATCATGGGGCAGGGTCCCACCAGCTGTGGCCCCTGCCCGGTGGGGACAAGCCTGAAGCCCCTTTCCCTGCTGCAGCCAGTGGGGCTGGGGGGCAGTTGTCTCCCTGTGTCTCTCCCCAGGGTTTTTCCAGCGGGCACAGAGGGCACAGGTGACCCCGGAGAAAACACACAGTCCTTGCTTGGGTGGGCTCAGCAGTGGTGAAAGCCAAAATTGAGGCACCCCCTGCCAGCCCATCTCAGGGAGCAGCTGGGGAGCCCTGAGGGGTGCAGGCAGAGGGGACGGGGGTTCAGGGCGAGGTGGGGGAGCAGGGGCAGCATCCCCATCCCGGCAGGTCCCGGGGAGCCCCCGCCCGCGGCGGGGGGAGCTGGCGGCCGCAGCCGGAGCGGCGGAGCGGTTCCGGTGTGTTGGTGGTCGGGTGAGCGGCGCTGGCCGGAGCGGGGAGCGCGGGCCAGCTGCTCTGCATTAGCCCGCCTCGCTCATCGCGATCTGGCGGGGACGGGTGAAGCAGAGGTTGTGTTTTTTCCCCCGCTGGCAGAGGCGAAGGGCAGGGAGGGCAGGAGGAACACAAAGCCTCCTTCTTCCCTCGCTGGCTCCCAGCTGGGGACGCCTCTGGAAGTGTGCTTGCCGCTTCCTCCCTTCCTGTGCGAGCAGCAGCTCAGGGCCAGCTCTGCTCCCACATGCCCAGCCGGCCAGGGAGGAGGTGCTTCAGCCTTGGCTCCGGTGCCAAGGCAGGGTGAGGGTCCACGGTTCCCTCCAGCGTCATCGCCGAGCCACAGAGCTGGGAAGGGAGGTCGGGCAGCGCGGGAACCAGCGGCAGTGAAGGTAGGGCAGGGCTGCGGCATTTACAGGCAGAGAGGGCACGTTTTGGGTCCAAGAGCAGCAAGCACCAGGTGGCCAAGGCAGAGGGATCACGCCGGAATGGCCTTTCCTCCTCCAAGGGCACGGGAAGGAAGCGTGAGCGGAGCAGAGGCGCTGCAGGTCGGGCATCACACAGCCAGGCCAGGGGGGAGATCAGAAACCTCCTCTCTGGAGCAGCCTCACAGTCCGAGGAAATATCAGTGGGGGCATTGGCTCGATGTGAACAGCGTAGGCTGGAGCCCCAGGAGCCCCAGAGGTCCTGAGCCTGAGCCCTCAGCAGAGGGTCCTGAGCTCAGAAACGTCGCCCAGAGCGGGACAAGCTTGGCAGAGCTGCTGCAGGTGAGGATCCCAGCAGGGTCCTGGCCCCCAAGCAGCCCCACAGCTGCTGGATGCCAGGCAGGAGCAGCCGCAGGGATGCAGCAGAGCAGCCTCGTGGTGGCAGTGGCACGGAGTAGGGGTGTGATGTGGGCACCAGAGCAGCATCCGGCACAGCACGGGCAGGGAGGGTGCAGACCACCTCCAGCTCCTGGCCCCACGGTGGGAAGCTGGGACCCCAGAGAGGTCCTGCTGCTGTCCAAAAGCAAGACTGATGTGGGACCCTCTCCAACACTTCCTCTCTGGTCTTAGCCCCCCTGGAAGCCCAAGCTCAGACGCCCAGCGCTGTCAGGGACCCTGAGCTGGTGATCTTCCTGAAGCGGTTGGCAGCACACACCCCGATGAAGTTTTTCTGTAAAAGGGAAGAGGAAAGATGCTCATCCTTTTGCGAGGGCTGTGGCTCTGGAGGCTGAGCCGGACCCCATTCTGGGGCTTGACACCACTCCTGCCCCTAAAAGCGGGTTTTGGGATCCACTCAGGAGAGACCAACACAAAGGGATCTAAGCTTGAGGGGGGTCTCATCTCACGGGCACCCACACAAGGACTCTGGAGCTGGGGAGCCCTCCCTCCAGGCTGCCAGCAGCACAGCAAGACAGAGCCACCCTCCATGTCCCAGATGCCATCCACCAGGACAGACAGAGGTTGGCAGCCCCTCTACCAGCCCCCTCAGAAGGTGTGGACCCTCATCCCCATTGCGGCCCCCCTCACCTTCCAGCGCCGCCGCATGACGTATTTCTTGAGCAGCAGCTGGGACTTGAGGCGCCGGTTGGACTGTTTGGCCTTTTCTGCCAGATTATTGAGCCAGGGATGCTGCAGGCACTGGTCAGCGCTCATCCGGGCACTGGGGGAGAGAGGAGCCCACATCATCCCTGCTCGAGCCCCTCACCCCCAACCACCCCCTTCTCCAGCGGCCCCAGAGCCCCTAAAACCCAGAGAGAGGAAAAACCTGCAGAGAGAAACCAGCCAAAAGGATCTGCCCAGGGACCAGTGGGGCTGGGCAGGACCCCAGGGGATCCAGCTTGTCCTGCTTGAGGCAGGTGTCCCCTGGAGGGATGCAGGACTCTGTTGGGGATGGTCAGCAGTGGGGCAGGGCCTCGTGGGGTTCATTTGGTGCAGGACCCAGGGGAGGCTGCAGAGGCAGTGCACGGTACCCAGGGCAGCTCTGGGGATGCCCACCCCAGGACCCCAGTGGCCCCTGCCGACTTCACACCTTTTATCCTTGATGATGAGGTTTGAGACGAAGTCCTTGGCCTCATTGGAGACGCTCTCAAAGGTCTCCTCATCGAAGTACCAGTTGGCAGCCAGGACGTTGTTGAGCGTCTCGGTGTCGTCATCACCCAAGAAGGGGGAGAGGCCACTGAGCCTGGGGGTACAGCGGGGTGAGGAGCTGGGTGCTTTCAGGCTTCAGCACCTTCCAGACCCCCCAGAATGGAGCCAGTCTGTCCAGGGCTGCCCCAGGGAGGTCATGTGGGGCTGGGTGCCTGGGGACAGCTCTGTGCCCCAGGCAGCTCTGCCCCAGCACCCTGGCCCCCCTGTCCAGCCCTGGCAGCCCCCACCCAGCCCTGACGTACAGCATGTAGGTGATGACACCCATGCTCCACATGTCTGTGGAGTAGGAGACCTGCTCGTAGTTGACCACCTCAGGGGAGAGGAATTCAGGGGTGCCGAAGTTCACCTTCAACTTCTCGTTGGGGTTGTACCTGCAGCCAGGGGGGACACATCAGCAGGAGGGGCACAGGCTGCTCCCCCAAACCACTGCCCCTCTCCAGCCGAGTGCTGCCCTCCCCAACCCTCCCATGCCAGCCAGGGAGAGCTGTGGGCAAAGCAATGGCCTAGAGTGGGTCTTGGGCATCCCAAGGGCACAGAGAGGTGTGGGACAGGAGGAGGGAGGGAGCTGAGGGGGAGAACCTCACCTTCGAGCCAGCCCAAAGTCGATGATCTTCACCATGTGTCCGGTGGCAGAGACGCAGAGGATGTTCTCAGGCTGTGGGAACAGGGTGACCATTGTCCCCCCGCCAAGAGGGGACATCCCCAATGCACAGATCCTGTGGCCGACCTGCACCAGGGCGATGCTGACCCACAGGCATCCCTCCTACGGCTGGGAGGTGTCCTGCTGTCCCCCCGGCCCCTGTCACTGTCACCCCCCAGCCCCGCACCTTGAGGTCGAGGTGGAGGACGTGCATGTGGTGCATGAAGCGGATGCCCTCGCAGATCTGCCGGACAAACACCATGCAGTCCACCTCCGTCAGGTGGTAGTCGTCGTCGATGATCCGCTCAAAGAGCTCGCCGCCCTCCACGCTGTGTGGGGAAGGATCACGAGGTCACCTTAGGGGGGCTCTCTGCCCCAAACCCTCCTCCTGACCCAGCCCCACCGTGGAGACGCTGAGCAGAGCATGGTGGGATGCGTTTGTGCTGGGGTTGGACACCCCCCAGGTAGCACAGAGGGGTTATTCCGGCACCCCTAAGCTGCCCAGTGGTTTGTAGAGTAGAACAGCCCCAGCACAGCCTCAGCCTCCCTGGGGCACATCTGCTGTGATGCATCCCCCATAATGGTGCCCCTCACCCAGGCATCAGGCCTGGTGGGACCCCGCCCCAGCACTCACAATTCCATGAAGAGGATGATCTCCCGGGGAGTCTCGATGGCGTCATAGAGCTGGATGAGGTTGCGGTGGTTCAGCTGGTTCATCACGTCGATCTCCAGCAGCACCATCTCCTGCGGAAAGAACCCCGAGGTGGTGTGGGGTGTCAGCCCTGCCCGTGCCACCAGGACGGGCTGTCACAGCGCCAGGGACACGCAGGGCACGATGCTGCCAGCCCCCACCTCGGCCATGCCACCGTGGCCAGGAGGGCCCCCCTGCCCAGCATCTTTCAGACCTTGTCCTTGGGTCCCTGCTTCCGGATCACTTTGGCTGCCAACTTGAGCCCCGTCTCCTTCTCCGTGCACGTGTGGACTTCACCAAACTTGCCCCTGGGGAGGGAGAGAGGGAGAGGTGCCCACGCCATCAGCCACCCAGTGTTCTGGGGACCCCAGCACTTCCCTGGAGTGTTGCCCAGTGCTCTCCTCTGCACCCATCCTGCCCCAGCCACCCACCCCATCACAACCAGAGGAGTCCCACTGACCCACAGCTAGTGCCCAAGGCTGGAGGGCAATTTGGGGCGGTGCCAGGGAAAGGTGGGCATCCTTCCCCCTCCTGGGGCCCCTCCTTACCCGCCCAGGATGTCCTTGGAGTTGAGGCTGAACTGGGAGCTGACGCTGCCAGGGTGCAGCGTGACGGTGCGATGCACGAAGGGCGCTGGTGGCGGAGGGACATCATCTGACCAGAGAGGAGGGATGGGGTGAGGTGGGGCTGTGCTGGCCAGGCGACCCCACTGCTGAGCACCCCAGGGTGCCCTGGTGTGGGGTGAAGGCGGACACCCAGCCAAGCCTGTGGGTGCAGGATGCAGCTGGGTGGAGTGCTGGGCTGCCAACCAGGGGCTCCTGGCTGGGGCTGCACTGGGGACGCAGCATCCCCCAAAGGGTCCCTTGCTACTGCCCACAGCATGGCCCTGCTGCAAGGCACCCACCTGGCTCTGTGGCACTCACCCTGCTCCATGGCATCCACTTCCACCATCCCATGTGTCACGTTTGCCCTCTCCAGGCCACGCTGCTGCCTGCCACCCACTCTAGGCCACTCCTCCTCCACACCACCACCACCTCCTGCTCACCCTCCCAGGACAGACCCCACACACAGGGCACCCCATGCACTCATTCCTGAGCCACTCTTTCCCTGGAGAGTCCAGGAGCTGGCCTCACAAGGACCCCAACAAGCACTCACTGCCATCCCCACGAGGACAGTGGTGCAGGACACAGGGACACAGTGTGCCCTGCCACTGGCCAGAAGGTCACTGTCACTCCCCAGGCTCCTCTTCCTCACAGTCAGTGTGGCTGGACAGCCCGGGAGGGGACACGACGCATTTAGCCCTGTTTACAGTGAAAGGGGAGCTCGAAGGCCACCAGGCAGGTGACAAGCCAAGGGCAGGAGCTGGCAGCATGGAGGGCAGTGCAGGCAGCAGGCAGGGCCATGGACTCCCCAGTCTGTCATCCCACAGAGAGTCCAGAGGGGGAAGGACAAGGCAGGCAACCTCATGCCCTTACCCAGTATTTCAAAAGGGTCTTCCTTCCCAAAATCAGGGGTGAGGTAGGGGCTGGGGGGTGGCTTTGCCTCTGTCGAGGGGGGCTGCCCTTCAGGTCCAGGTTGCTCTGCAACCCCAGCGGGATCTGGGGGCTTCCCTGTGGCACTGGGCACTGTCCTGTCTTGTGGGGTGCTGTGGGGCTGCAGGTCCCCCATGGCTGGCGGGGCAGGGCCAGGCTCTGTCGGACCCTCTTTCGGCTCCGCCGCCGTGGTTTCCTCTGGAATCATCTCCATCTCCTTCACCTCTGCCCAGGGCTGCTCCTCCCTGGAAGCAGGAGAGGGAGGTGAGCAGAGCCCAGCCAGCAGCCCCCGAGCCCAAGCACCCACCTCTGCCTGGAGGGACCCAGGGCTCCCTGGGGCAGCGAGGGGCATCCCCCCATCCCTGGAGGGTGCAGGTACCTGTGGCAAGTGGCTGGGCAGCTCAGGCTCTGCAGCAGAGCGGGGCGTGGGGGCTCAGGGACCCTTGGTGGCTGTTTCTCTGCCTTTGGTTCTTCCTCCCCTTCACCCTGAGCCTTCACAGTAACCATGGCTGCTGCCTCTGTGGGCTCCTCAGCCCCATCTCCAGCCTCTGCTGCAGCTGCAGGGGCCTCCACCTCAGCAGCTTTCTTCCCTCCATCTCGAGCCTTTGCAGCCACTGGGACCTTCTCCTTTGCAGGATCTTTCCCTTCACCCCCAGCCTTTGATGCAACTGTGGTTTTTTCTACCTTTGCAGTTTTCTTCCCTCCATCCTGCGCCTTCACATCTGCTGGGGCTTTCTCCTTTGCAGGCTCTTTTTTACCTCCACCTTGAGCCACTTTTGCAGCTGGGATTTTTTCTGTCTTTGCTGCTGCCTTCTCTCCCTCCTGAGCCATGGCAGCATCTGGGGCTTTCTCCTTTGCAGGAATTATGGCTTTCTCCTTCACTGGAGCTGAGGCTTTGTCCTTCTCAGGAGCTGGAGCCTTGTCCTTTGTGGGAGCCGGAGCCTTCTCCTTCATGGGCTCCTCTTTGCCTCCATCTGGAGTCTTTTTTACTGCTGGAGCTTTCTCTGCTTTTATCACTTTATTCTCCCCACACTGAGCCTTTGCAGCAGCCGGGGCCTTCTCCTTCACAGAAGCTGTAATTTTCTCCTTTGGAGCCTTGTTATCAGCTGGGGCTTGCTCTGCTTTTGCAGCTTGCTTCCCTCCATCCGAAGCTTGAGCAGTGGCTGGGACCTTCTCCTTTGCAACCACTCTGGCTTTCTCGTTTGCAAGCTCTCCTTTACCTCCATCCTGAGCCTGAGCTACAGCCAAGGCTGCCTCCTCTGTGGATTTTGCCTTCCCTCCTTCAGAGTTTGCTGCAGCTGGAGCCTTCTTCTCTGTGGGCTCTGCTTTCCCACCACCCTCAGCCCCTGACCCCCCAGGGGCTTGCTCTTTCCTGAGCTTGTCCTTTTCTCCATCTTGAGCCTCAGTTATAGCTGGGCCCTTCTCCTCCATGGGTGCTGCCTGCCCTCCTTCAGGCTGTCCTGGAGCCTTCTCCTCCCTGGGCTCATCCTTCTCTCCATCCTTAGCCTTGGCAGCAGCTGAAGCCTTTCCTCCTTTGAGTTCTCCTGCAGCCGGAGTTTTCTTCTTCCTAGACTCATCCTTCTCTCCATCCTTTGCCTTGGCAGCAGCTGGAGCCTTTCCTCCTTTTTGCTCCCCTGCAGCTGGAGCTTTCTTCTTCCCAGGCTCATCCTTCTCACCCTTCCCCCTGTCCTGAGCCTTGGCAGCAGCCGGAGCCTTCCCCTCCATAGGTGCTGTCTTCCCTTCTTTAGACTCTTCTACAGCTGGAGCTTTCGTCTTCCCAGGCTCATCCTTCTCCTTCCCTACGCCCTGGGCCTCGGTGGCAGCCAGCACCTTCTCCCCCGCGGATGGTGCCTGTTCTCCGTTGTGCTGCGCTGTCGAAGCCTCCTGTCCTGGCACTGCTTCTCGTCCATCCCGGGGCTCTGGAGCAGACAGGGCTGTTCCCCGCTCAGGTTCTGGTTTCCCTCCTCCAGCCGCTTTCTCCTGCCCAAGCTCATTCGTCCCCCCTTGGGGCTGGGCAGCCTGGGGGGCGGCGGGGGCTGCGCTGCCCTCTGCTTCAGTGGGGGCCGTGCCACCGGCCCCCCCGGTGTCGGCACCATCCGCCCCACCGCCCCGCTCCATGGGGGCTCTCCGGGCAGGAGGAGGCTGCCCCGCGGCGCTCCCGCTTCGGCGAGGCTCCTGCGGGAGAGAAAGCAGCAGCTGAGGGCTCCCCGGACCCGACTCGCTGCACACAGGGGCACGGCTCTGCTCCGGCAGGGATGAGCTGCTGCCACCCAGCCGGGAACCGTGTCCCCACCGCCCAGCCGGCGGCTCCCGGGCTGGTGGCACCGAGCCAGGGGCCCCACGTGGCCACCATTCCCGGCACCGTCCCATTGTGCCCCGATATCTGCCCCGCGGTGACTGATCGATGGCCTGACGCCGGCACCTGTCACCGGGTGCCTGGGGCCCCCGACGTGCAAACAGCCAGCGCGGCGCGGCCAGGGTGACAATTTAAGGCCACATCCCACCATGGCGGGGCAGGAGATGGCGGCTCCGGCCCCAGGCTGGCGGGTGGGGAGCAGGAGAGGTGAGCATTCCCAGCACGGCCCAAACACCGCTGGCCCCCAAGCCACATAGCCATGCAGGCAAGCCCCATCTGCTCAGGGGCTCTGTGGACCCCCAGACCCAGCAGCCGTCAGCACTGCTCATCTCCCCTGCCCTGGGGTAACCAGGACCCCCAAGGGGACCTGTTGGTGCCCTTCTGTCTGTGTGGGGCTCCAGCCCAAAATCTGATCCCCAAATCGCTGCTCTGCCCTGGGCTTTGCTGCCCTCCCATACCTGGTCACCTCTTCTCTCCCTGTCCCAAAACACCCACCCTGTGCAGCTACCCAGAGGCCAGGCCAGCCCAGCCCCAGAATAAACCGACCAGCAACCATCTCAATAACAGGGAAGGTGCTTGCTGGTCTTACTGGAGCAGTCCCTGGGAGAGCATTCCTAGATCCCACAGCTCAGCCTGGGGAGCCTGAGGAGTCGGAGGTGTTCCTGCCAGGGCTGGGGGCTTCACTGTCCCCAGGGCCTCCCCCAACCACGCCCCAAGTGAGGGGCCACAGAGACCCCCCAGCCCCTTTACCTGGGTCCTGGGCAGCGGGTGGTCAGGGGGGCAGCATCCGCACTGTGGCAGCGCCGGAGGGAGCAGCCTCTTCTATCCCGGGTGTAACGGAGCCGGATTAGTGCAGGCAGAGGAGGATCCTTTACAGCAGCAGGAGCCGTCCCGCTTCGCCTTTCCCAGCACCTGTTGCTGCTGGAGCCCGTTCAAAGGACACGCCACTCTCGCCTGTCCCTCGTGGGCTGGGGACACGCAGACACAGGGCAGGGGATGGGGACAGACCTCCCTCCTGCCCCAGCACGGCACCACAGGGAGGGTTGGCACTAGGCACAGTGGCACCCTGAAACCATCCCATGAGTGTGGCCTGGGCAATCTGGACAGGGTCCAGGTGGCCAAGGTCTTCCAAGGTGCTCACAGGTGACACAAGACAGCCACTGACCAACCTATGGGGACGGTGGCCGCAAGCAGCTGGTGATGGTGCTGGTCCTCTGTGCTCACCTTGCCTGCAGGATCAGGATGCCTTCCCAGAGGATGTGACCCTGGCCGGGCAGGGGAAGGGACAGTGCTGCTGCTCCACATTGCCGAATCCCAGCTCCCAGTGAGCCAGCAGTGTCTGTGAACCATGGGCTGGGGTCAGGCTTTGCCAGAAGAGCTGTGGTTCACATGTGGCATTGAGAGTGACACAAGTCAGGATGGAGTCATGACTGTCTCACCTGTCCCTGCCCAGGCCTCAGGCACCCCCCATCACCACCTTGGTGCAAAAGCAACGCTTGCTCAGTGGGACACAGCCAGAGGCTCCTGAGCAGACATGGTGCTCTCCCACTCCAGCCTTCACACGATTTGTTGCTTCCCTGAGCCCAGCTCCTTTCCCAAAATCCAGGGCAGGACCTGGAATGTGATGAGGACCATCAAAGATGATGCAGGAGCAGGTGCACAGCTCCAACCCCCAGTGCTGATGCAGTCATGTACATGCAGAGGTTGGAGCATCCCCACACCCACAGTTCTTGGGGACTGTGACACCCACACTGCCCATTCCTGTGGTGAACAGGAGTCCCCTCACCTCAGCCTCCACAGGGCCTGCTGTCAGGAATAACCAGCCAGAGACCGTGCCTGGGTAGCAGGGACTCTGCCCACCAACTGTCATCGCTAACTACAGTTTGGAATTGCCTCTGCCTTCTACCGGCTGAGGGCTGCCAGACACCTGGAGGCCACCAGTGTCACTTCAGGCACGTACTGCCACCACTCCGCCAGCCTTCGGCTCTGCACCCTCCCAGCAACCCCTGGGTGGAAGGAGCACATCCCCACAGCCACTCCAAAGGCAGGGGACAGGAGCCCAAGTGCCACAGCTGTGCCCCACAGCTCCCTCGAGCTGTTGGTGCAGTGAACACTGGGATAAAAAAACCTCTCCAAGCAGAGGAGCACCTGCCTGGACACCAGCCAGGCTGCCCAGGATGCTTGCAATGTTACACGCTCCCTGGGAGCAAGATTGGTGCCTGGTGAGGAAACCTAGGGAGAAGTTGAGGAAGCAAAGTCCTGGGAGCAGGTGCTGGTGGCCACGGAAATTGTTTTCCAAAGGTCAGTTGGTGACCAGGTTTGGCATTATTACAGAGAAAATTCGTTTGTGGGCAGAGGGAAATAAGCTGAAATCAGACCTCTCAGCAGAATTGAAAAGTAGGTGGTGTTGCACCCCAGGATTTTGGATGCCTTGGTCCAAAACCCCACACCCCAGGGAGCAGCACAGTGATCTGCCTCTCTGCAAACCAGCCACCACCCAGGGTTCTCAGCCTGGGTTTGGCTTTTTTTTTTTTTTCCCTTCCCATTCAGGAATTTAAGCCAGAGCCTACATTGGCTGCAGCTGGAAAACAGCCTGTCCTGGGGATATCTGGCAGTGCCTCAAGCACGCTGTTCCTTAGCGACGCCGTTGTCACAACTGCGGCAGCACACTTTAACCTTTACGCTTTCCACGGGAAGGGAGGCTCTGCGGGGCCAAAGCCGGCCCCGTTCCCTGGGAAACCCTACACCCCCAGCTAAATCGAGCAGCAGGGCAGGCTGAACAACATCCCCACCTCAATCCCAGCCATGCCACTGTAACACAAACCAGCCAGGCTGCCGGGCCTGGCGGGCACAGCTTAACTGCTGCCATCGGCGCCCAGGGCTTCCACGACGCGCTGCCACCGCGCCGTGACAGGTGCCAGCAAGGTGATGGGGAAAGACGAGGAAAAATCCCATCATCAGCAGAAGGGCACCCAGAGCTACGCAGCACCTCGAGGACAGGAACGCAGCCACCAGTGGCAGCACCAGTGTGGGCTTTGAAGCACCAGGAGCCACCCCCATGCAAGAGGTTCTTACCACACTGGCAGGCAACAAGGTTTCCTGGTAGAGAGGGGAGGGACAAGCAAAGCTGTGATTTGAGAGCATCATCAAGCCTTTTCATAAAGACTTCATTCACTAGATAATCAGATCTTGCAATTCAACATAAAAGTCCAGGAAAACATTGCCTTTTAGTTACAGCTCTAGTCTGAGTTCAGCAAATTACTTTGATAAGAAATTATTTTGGGTGCAGCTCAACTAGAAATGCATCAGAGGAAGATCTTGTATCCAGCTCTCCTCCCCTCCTCTCACTCCTTGCTCTCAAGGAAGGTGCATAAAGGTGATGGGGTTTGAGTTCTGGAATACAAAGGAAAATCACCTGCCCCCATTTCCCTGATGAAGCCTTGATCAAACCCCATCCTCCCCAACATGCAGCTCCTCCAGGACACCCATCTCTTACACATTTTCTACACTAGAGCACTTCTTCCACCATGTCAACACCTCCCTCCTAATTAAGGGGGCAAGTCCCACCCATGAGCCTGTGGGAACTTGATGGGTGACTCCATCTCAGCCCAACACCCCAGATCCTTGCAGGCACAGCTGCCTGAGGTTCCTTCCACTGTTTGAAGTGCATGGGGAATAAAAGAGGCCTTGGCTGGAGGAAGATGTAATGTCTTTTATTAGACCCAAATGATACTATTGGAGGAAAAAACTGCCAAGCTGTCAGGCACACAGTGCCTTCCTCAGGGCAGGAGCAGAGGCCATGTAGGGCCATCAGGGAAATCCAGCTGGTCTATCCTTCAGGGAACAGTGGCTGCTCCAGCTCTACAGCCTCGTTATCCTGCTTGCCTTTACATTCTTCATCAGCTCATCATCATTCCAGCTTTCTCCTGACTCATCATAAATATTTGCTGCTCCTGCTGCCCACACACTGCCTGCTCCAGAGCTGGCACTCGAGGAAACAGCAAGGATTCCCTGACTGCACAGTGGAGGTTCAGCCACGTCCCTGTGTCCGGAAGATTGCAGGGAACAGCTCCACTACAACAGAAAAGGGGTTAAGGCAGGGGCCAGATCCACACCAATCCTAGTTTTCAAGAAGAGGATGCTGACACATCCCTCTTGCTCCAGTCACTCCTGTACATTGTCACAAGCAGCAGTGACAGGAGCTTTTCTGGCTGTCCTGTCACCCTCAGCTCAGCAGCACAGGGCTACCAGCAAAGTCAGAAACAGGTGGCTAAAGGCATCCTAGTGACTGGGTTAACCTTTCAGGTGCAGCTCTGCCACACCTACATAAAAATCCTCAAGGGAAGGAAAAGTGTAGCTGGAGCAAAAAGGAGCCACTGAGCTTGCTGTTTCCAAGAGGCCACGCAGCTCCAGGGTCATTCATCCTTTAGTACCAACAATACACTTCCTCAGCCCTCTGGTTCTCCAGAGTTCCTTAGTTACTGACTGCAAAAAAACCTTAATTTTTTAAAGAACCCTAATATTTCAGCAGGGGAGGCTTTTCCTCTTTGAATCCAAGCAGAGAAGTTTGAGGCTGGTGCTCTTTGAAACACTCCCACAGAGACTCCAGCTGTTCTGCAATGGCATCCCTTGAGCATCACACTTTTTAGAATTCCTGCAGAAACATAATCCCTCAGGTACAATAAGTGTTCATCTTGGAATTTAGCTCTCTTAGGACTTTCTCCCTCTGTTACCTCCCCCAGTTTAGGAGTAAAACAGCAATTGCTTGACATTCTCTGGCAAGGATGAGATGGCACCTCTAACCATCCCCTCAGCTAGAGTCTGACACCCCAAGATGGAGCTCCTTCTCTTCTCCACCCAAAAAGCTGAATAAAAGGCCACACACTCTAAGAACACTTCTCTAATAGTATCCAAATTCAGAGGAAATGAAAGCAAGTGTTTGCCATAACCCCCAAACAAGAAAGTTTGTCCTACCTGGACACATTAATTCTAAGTTTTCCTTTTTTTTCCTTCTGTTCTGAACAGCACAGCAGCAGCAGGCAGCCCTGCTGACGTGTGTCCCAGCAAGATACAAAGGTAAGAAATCAGAGCACAATACTGAGGTAAGAAATAATTATTACATTTTTAATCTAAATGTGACTTCACAACACTGGCAGTTTTGTCCTCTGGCACATTTGAGCACTTGGGCTATATTTAACTCTGCTTGCAGCCCAGACTGGCCAGAGACGCTGATGTCTCTGTAGCCAAGAGACCTGCGCTGGCAGGAGCTGGGGCAGCAGCTCACAGCAAGTCATTTGTCAGTTTAATGGCTCCCCAAATAGAAGGGCTTCAGCTATAAAACAGCAAGAAGGTTCAGTGCTCTAATGTACACAGAGAACTACTTTAAAGCATGGGCAAGATTTATATTGTTCATCCAAACAGCACGAGAAAGGTTCGACCCGCGCTGAGCTGGCTTGCAGGAGCCTCACATTAGTTAATACAATTCAAGCTTAATGCAGAATAAAAGGCTAAAAAACATACACTCGAAAAAAAACACTTAGTGTACAAAGACAAGGCAGCTCTGCCAGATGCACACATCTGTAGGGTCAGCCTTCACCAAAAACTCTTCTGCAGGAAAGGGCCTCAGCCCACTAGCCAGAGACAGAGATCATAGTAGGAAACTTTATTTAGTTAGGTGGGATGCCACGGGCTCAAGTGGAGTTAAACTATTCAGTACAAAGGAACCAAGCGCGGGAGTTCAGGCAGAGTCACAGAAAAACAACTGCTCCCTCTCTCCTACCACGGGAGTGGAGAGGGATGGGATCTCCCTCCTAGGATCACGTGGATGCTCATCAGCACCGGAATCTGTCTGAGAAGTTGGGAGACTTTGGCAAAGTCAGTAACTGATCACTGGGCTTCACTTCTACGCTGCGGTATTTCCGTATTGGGTTTGCCTTGTGAACCTGTAAAATATAAATATAATCAAGGACAAAATTAAACAAATTGTTGCAGTTATGACAAAGCTAAAACCTGCAGGTGAGCCATGGGTGGGATGAAGGCAGGTGTTTGAGCCCAACACACTGCCCCATGCTGGGGTTGTGGGTTTTACCAGGATCATTCTGCTCTGATAAGTACACATGTACAGCTCCAAAACTCAGCCATCTCAGCAGACCTGCCTTCTTTGTTTGGCATTTTATAGGTTTTTGTGGGTTTTTTGGTGTTTTGTTGTTGTTGTTGTTGTTTGGTGTGCTTTGTTTTGGTTTTTTTGGGGAGGTTTTTTGTTTGTTTTTTTAACCAGTTGTAAAGTTAATGAGGACTCAGTTTGCAACAGGGAACCTTGCAAAGACAATCTTAATTCAGACATGAACTCCTTGAGGATATTCCCACATTCCTTTGGGTTGCTTTACAGCCCTTGCTCAGAGACAGCTCACTTACCATTTCTTGCCTTAGCTTAGCAACTTCTTCCTTTTCACGCTCCTCTTGTTCCTGCCTGATCTTCTCCTGGTACCTCTCCCTTACGGCTTCTGCGTCTGCCAATCGCTTTTCAAATTCTTGCCGTTCTTTTGCTCTCCTTTCCGTTGCCAGCTCAAAGCTTTCAGGAACTACAGAACCAGAAAGGCTCTCTAAGTTAGAAACAGAGGAGACAACATTGGTTCAAAGACAGCCAGGTAAAGCACAGAGGTACTAGTGTCAGCAGAAGCCTCCCTTTGGAGAGCTTCCCCTTGGCAAAGGGTGGTTAGGAGATACCTCCAGGCTTCAGGAAAAGAGAAAACCTTGCTCCCAGACGTGAGCACTGTTAATGCAGACGTCACCCCGCCACGGGTGTTCTCATAGGAGGGAGCAAGCACACAATTGTTAGTACAAACAAGTTTTTGGTTGGTTTTATGCCCTACAAAGCTCAGTCTACCCAAGCAGTAGATGCCTTCATCTCATTAGAAATGGGAGGAAAAGAGTGACAGCTCTGCAGAAACGCCAGCTGTCTCTGCAGGGAGCTCCTCACATTCTCTGTACCCTTATCCCGAGCTGGCAGACATCAATCATCTGCCAATTGCAGCAGAGCTGCTAAATACAGCTGCCATGCTGGAGCAGGATGGGGAGGGAGAGGAAACCCCCCTGCTCCCGAGGGACACAAGCTGTTAGGCAATTAGTTGATTAAATGCAAGGCACTATTGGCTGTGCTGATGAAGAAGAGGCAACAGCCAGAAAAAACACCACTTAATTGCATCAGTTCTGAGCTACCCGCCAAGCTCGTGCAGCAAGTACTTGTAACTCCACCTGCTAGTAGTTTATGTTCCTTTTTGGGCATGAAAGGCTCCTGGTACACCACTGTGTTGGGACGAGCTTTAAAACACGCTGCCTCTTTCTGCCTTTTCAAGTCTTCTTGGAGCTGCAGGAGAAGAAAGCACATCAAGTGGCAGGCACAAAGAGATCATAACCCCCTGACACAGACTCCCACCCTCCCAACACACTGAAAGAGCCAGGTTGACTTAGTCAAATCATTTCCATTGAAAATCATATTAAAGCCAAAAAGATGTGTCACTTGTTGCCTGACACTTACTTTGCCAAAAATAACCTGAAGAAAGTTTCAGGTGTCCACTGCAGACTTCACACAAGAAAAGCAGTGTATTATTTGTGTGTCAATAAATCCCCAAGCAGGGAGATGATCAGCAAAGGGATCCAACTGCACAGAGCTGCTGCTTAAAAATCACCCCACAGCTGTTCATGCAGCTGTGGTAAATCTAGTGATTTACCATAAAGTGGGAAAAATAGAAAACCCCAATCCACCAATCTTTAATCCACAGCCCAACTCTCGTGCCAAGGACAGAATAATTCATTGCTCAAACTCAGCTCCTGATTCAACTCAAGCAGGACACTTTCTGGAGTTGACCACAACTCCACCAGCTGCTTCAAGCCCAGTCTTTTCTGTTATCCTTTTTATCCTACCTGATGTTTCCAGCTCTCGAGCTTGGCAGCTCCCCGTTCATCCACCTGCAGATGGAATGGTTCAGGCTGGGTTGGGGCTTTGACCTTCTTCTCTGGCAGTTTGACTTGGTCAAAGTAAGGCAGAGGCTGCGCTTTGAACTTCGGCACCTGAAACAAACAACTTGAAATATTTCTTGTCCTTCCCTTGCATGTTTAACAGACAACAGCAAGAGGCAAGTCCTGCCAAGCACTGAAGGAGTGGAATCCAAGGCAGCTTTAGCTCTTTCTTACCTCTTCCTTCTGAAATTCTTCTATTTTCTTCTCTTTTTGTATTTGCCGCTCTTTGTCCCGGGCATCAAAAGAGAAGGGGCAAACTTCCACATGCCTCTGCTCTGGCATTTTGGGTTTGAAGGGCACTCCATAATGTGGCATAGGGTTAGCTTTGATCACAGGCACCACCTCCTTTTCCTAAAGAGATATTAGTGTTAGGATCTGATTTTTCACTTTTGTGGAGAGCACAAGTCCTGCCAAACAAAGCCATGAAGAGCTTGGAATGAGCTCCTTTAATAAGGGGAACTGTGGGGTCAAGCAAACACACTGGATACTGCAAAAATTAGCAATCTAAGAAGTGCTTATTTAGTGGCATCCTGAACCACAGGCCAGTTCTTCCTCTTTCTAAACCACTCTCATTTCTAGTACTCATCCGAATTAGACTTTAGTGTCCTCTTCACAAGAGGGAAAGGAAGAAGCACATGATGCATTCAGAATCCTGCTCCCCATCTCGGGGAGAAGGGTCATGTGCAATATCTGCCCTCCATGACAGAATAGGGAAGGGCAATGTCCTGAGAAATCTAAGCAGTTCACTTTCCTCCTTCGTAGCAGCAACACTTCAGAAACCTCCATTAGTGCCCTTGTGTTTAAATTTCACTTTGTATGAGAATTCAGTTTCAGTAGAATATGTAGCAGTAAATCAAGATTGCTTGAAGGGAATGGCACAGACAAAGGTGACCACTGGAGTGGAGAGGCTCCCTAACCCAGAGCATCCCACAGCCACAAGCACTGTGGTGGGACCTGGGCCTGGCTCCAGCCTAGTGACAACTGTTACCTTTTCTTCCTCCCTGGCAGACACGCGGGTTCTGCTTTTCAAAGCGAAGGCTGGAGACTTGGGGATCGTACAAGGAAGTTCTTTCTTCTCCGGAACACCCTGTTCAGAAGAGCCAGTAAGGAGTTACCCAAGGCTGAGTGCCAGGAAAACACAACACAGAGACAGCACAGGATGTACCTGTTGCCGTTCTTACCTAATGGCAGACACTGTTTACTGCAGATTATCAAAATACATAATGCAACACAGCTACAGGCACTTTGAAGCTAATTGCCATCTCAGTCCTAACTCCCAGGTCTGGGTGTTACTAAACTTCTTACCACAACATCCTCCAGGATTTTTGTGGGACACGGCCTGGAGTGGAATTCGAAGCGCTCTTCCTCCTGCCGCTTCTTACTCTCACGCTCCTGAATCCTTTTCTCTGTTTCCAGCTCGAAGCCAACGGGCTGGGTGACGTTCCTCACGCAGGGCTTCTTGGGCAGGAGTGGCCCACCCTCAAAGATTTTGTAGTTGAGTTCTCGCGCCTTGAATTTGTACCTACAGAGCAGAGATGGAGGCAGTCACCAATACACTGTACATTACTGTGCAGCTCCAGTTAGCAACTCCTCCTTTGGTTTTGAAACAGCAGGATTAATAAGGAAAACATTATGAATTGCTTCCCTAGAAATCCAAACCTTTGCCCACCAGGAGAGTTTTGAAGTGTGTGCAGGGTGTATAGTGTTATACTGGGTTTGCTTTACTCATCATAAGCTGTGCTGAACCCAAGATCAGCTCTCCTAAGAGCACTTCCTTCAAAATGAATTGGCTACTTTTCACTTCCCTACAGTCAGAGCCATAGAATTATGCACAAGCTAAAGGAATATCAATGGTTTTATGCTACTCATTCTTTTACACAAAAAAGGGTATTCCTGAGAAGTGATATTTTAGTATCTGAAAGATATGTCCAGCGTGGTACATTCCTCCCTTGGAGGACTGGAGTAAACAGAGTAAACATTTACTTACTGTTGAATTTTCTCTACTTCCTCTGCTTCTAACTCTGCTGCAGTTTTGCAGGTGACAGGTCTCGAGCGCTGCTTTGTTCGGAGCACTGGCGTTTTGGCACATGTGAGCTGAGGCTTCACCGACTTGCCTGAAACTTGGCCTGTAAATTCAAGCCAGAGACCAGTAGTTACTGGCAAGGCCTACAGCAGACACAGGCTGTTTGCTCAGAGCAGTCAAAGCACCCGTGTCCATCTCTGTGGACACAGCCAGGACCACTCACCTTCTTCCTCAGGTTTTCTGCTCCTCAGGTGGTAACGAGAGGGTGTGCGTTTCTGGAATGCTTCTACCTGCTCGGCAAAGGGCACGTACTCTGATGTGGTTTCTTCGAGTTTTCTTTTGTTTCCCTGGGACAGATTGAAAGGCTTGGGGACAGTGGGTCCCTTTGGCACTCGGATCTGAAAAACAGACAACCACAGTCAGTATGGCCGTGGCCAAGAGGCTTTGAGGACATTTCCTTTCCCCATCGATGCACAGTATCTGCCCCTTCTCCTCACTTAAAAAAGGTAACCTCTAACATTAAGCATAAGTATTAATACTCTGAACACATACAAGTCATATTGGGAAACTGTTCAAAGCAGAGGATTAAAGCATAAAGTGGAATGACTGGAAGATCTGACATTATAGAGCTCCTTTTTCCACAAGGTTTCTTTGGAGTCTTGTGGCAACGAGACACACAGCGAGCTCACGGTTAGGTTTGCACAACACCTGCCCCTCCTGTGGTAACCCCTCTGTGGGTCACCAGCATGGGTGTTGCACAAGCAGCAAGGAGGTGACGTCAAGAATCAGTCAGCCAAGTGCTGGCAACGCTTTGGCTCTCACCGGAGAAGGGGGATGCTTCCTGAGCACTGCTGCAAAATCCAGCTCCTTGTACTCATTCCCAGGCTGGCTTTCCACATTCTGTTTAATCCTATTCTCCGTGCAGAAGTGGAAATCAATTGGCTTTGTTACTTGACCAACGGGTCTCTTCACAAGTTGTCCTGAAGAAAAAGAACACTTAAGAACTGGAAGCCTTTTGGAGTGGGGTGGGGGTGTAGGATTTGTGGGGATTAAAAAGGCATTTAATATCTAATAACTAACAAATTAGAAGCCTCATCTTTAACCTTTCAAAATACGACAAAACCCAAACACGATTTTTTCCAGGCAGTTTAGGGGTTGATCTACATTAAAGACCTCCTAACATTTAGCACAAATTTTGGAATGTTTGTTTCCAGAGGTACTTGCACAGCTCTGTGCAGCACTTTCCAGCTGAGCCCAGTACAGCTCCAATCTGCAATCCAGGCAGAGCCCACCTGCTCCGGCAATAGCTGCTTTCAGAGACTCCTCATTCTTCTTCCGCAGCTCCATAACCTCCTGCTGCAACTGCTGCATCTTTTCAAGTTCCTGCTCTTCTGTACTCTTCAGCTTGCTAGAAGGTTTGGTCCTCCTGCAGAAGCACATTAAAGGCTGAGATATGCCTTCCTGGTTATTAGCATGCTAGTGCAAGGAACATGCTCATCTCCGACCTCACTGCAGGAGCATCCCTTGTTATAAAATCGTACTCTTCAGAAGATCTGCTTGGATTTTGTTTGCTCAGGAAACCTCACAGCTAGCTGCTATTCTGCAGACCCATTTTCTGTGTGCGTGCTCAATTCATCAGCAAGAACAACTTGTTCCTCAAAAGAAAAGCAAAAGCTTTCCTGTGCACAGGTTCAGCTGGTGAAGTACATTTCATCCCCACATTGTTGCCTCAACCCAGTGTTTACTAAATGTGACACCATCACATGCTAAGTTGAAGCTGGAAACACTCAGCCAGGACTGTCACCTAAATCAACCGTGATTAGCAGACAAGTCACAAGAAAGCCACGTACTTCAACACTGTTGGCGTGGAGGGCATGAATGGTTTGCTTTTCTCTCTCCCTGGGGACAGGTCAGGATCCTGTGAAGGCTCTGCCTTTGTGGATTCTTCTGTCTCCTCTCTGCTGCCAGAACTAAGAAAACAACTTGTTAGAGCAAACCACTCCGATCAACTGTGTTGTAAATGAAAGATCACCTGCGGTTCTCACCACCATGTATAACATCCCAACACCTGGTGAGGTCTAAGGTATGCCAGGCTGGCCTTACCTCACCACACGCCCAGGCAAAGACTGTCCAGTTTTCCCTGGTACTCTAAGGCTGCAGAAGGGAAGATGAATTACTGAGTTTTTGGAACTTTTCTAGAGGAAGGAGTACTGCACTGTGGTACAGCAGCATTTCAAAGATCACAATTTCCTGACCTCAAGCTTATCACCACATGATACCTTAGTGGTTAAGTTAATTTGAGAAATATTTGAGCTGTGACTCTTTCATAACTTATGACTAACTGCCTGATGACTTCCTGATGGATAAGTTAAGACAAATTTAAAACTAACTGGCTGACAGTGAGTAAGGAGTAAGAAGCTGAAGAAACCCACGCTCATTTCATTCACATCTCTACTTCCAAACAGAGCGATTCCTTCAGCTCTTACAGCCATTTCTTGTTTATGAAACCAGTATCAGGAACCAGTTCCAGTCATCACCACCTAACCTTTGTGTAAGAACCCTCTCAGACAAGTGGAAATCCTTTCCAAAGGAACAGTTTTATCCCCATTCCCAGCCCCGAAGGAGAGGACTTTGATGACGTACATTCTCATTTTCTTCAGAGGTGGAACCTCTTCCTTATTATCCAGAGCATTAGCAATTCTCTCTGCTTTGATTCTCCCTGGCTGCTTGCGCTGCTGGGTTTTTCTTGGCTTCGTAGCCGCTCTCTTGCCCACCCTGGAGTAGAACAGAAAACAGGGGTCAGCTTTCCCACAGATCTGAGGAGACACACGACTTGGATAACACTTTTTATGTCAGTGCATCACCTAACTCCACCATTCCCACCATGCAAATTGCATTTAAAACAACAATCCAAACGCAGCACGATTTATTAAAGTTTAGCAATCCATAGACTTAGTGTTCTTTGGTATATGCAAGCATAGAGAGCCCCTTGCATTAATATGAAGAACAAGTTCTGCCCAAGTCAGACAGATATAAACAAAGAAACTTTATAAGCCACCTCAGTTTCAGATATCCTCACATTCCAGAAGCTCCTGGTGCTACCAAGTCTCATTTGACAAGTATGTGAGATACTGCATTACATTTCCACCCTAGAGACTGTCCCTCCAGCTTAGCCAGCAGATCAGCTGTCCCAATACACGATCTCCGTGCTGGAGAACTCCAGCCCCACAGGATCACCCAAGAACTGCAGATCCTGAGAGCAGAGAGCTACTTAGTTACACCATCATCAATCATTTTGCAAACTGAACACAAGGATTTCACCTCTGAGGGGCCTCTGCAGGGGCAGCAGCTCTCCAGGTCGCCAGGGACCCAACGATGTTCTGAGAGACCGTGTGGGTCTGTGCATCCTCTGCTTCACCATTGCTTTCATCTGAGAAGGGAGACAAGTGTCATCTCATCCATACACATTTATAAAGAACACCACAAATTAAAACCATGTGAGACCTTGCAGACACCAGTTTATGACTATGGTCCCACAAAAGCCAGACAGAGGTCTTTCCATTTTGCCAGTGAAAAGCAGGGAAAATTAATTCCCTAGCCCCCAGAGTATGCCAGCTTACTCATTGCTGCTCCTTGTGATGTGCAGATAGACAGAACATCAGGCTTTGTATAAGCAGGGCTGCTCTGTGAGAGCTTTGCCACATTTTCTGCAGGAGGGATATTCTCCATATTGGCTTTTAGGTCTGTAAGGAGAAAAAGAGAAACGTTCACTATGCACAATATCAAGAATTTTTAACAATACATCACAATATCATTATGAGGTTAGTGAAGTCATTTGTCGAGTTACAGATATTAAAGTTTAAATTAAAAAAAAACAAAAACAAACAAACAAACCAACCCCATGCATGATGGATGATGCAGCTAAAAACATGATTAACCAATTGGCACAGAAGCCACACCCAAACCAAAGATAACACTGAGGCCTCATCCAACCAGAAAACAAATCAAGGAGTTGGAAGCAACTTACCAAACCAGGAGTCTGCATTGTGCACATCAGCATCATCCTCATTCAGAGTTGCAAAGTTGATGCAGGGGTTTGGGACATCAAAGGAGTAACGGGATTCTGATCTCGCCATCTTTGCTGTCACACTGTCCCCAGGAGTCCTCTGCCTGCACCACTACAGTTGTTTAGACAACAACAGCATGTCAGTGCAATCACCCCCCACCTCTCTTCCACCATGGGGTTTCTAGGGAGAGGCACTGGGACAGCCTTTTGTACAACTCCCCTTTCTTGCACTTCACACCTTTGGGCAAAATGCCTCTTGAGCAATGCAGGGTTTTATTCTACTGCTGATTGGCAAAGCTAAGGAGATCTCACCACTGTTGACATTTGCAGGTTCAGAACTATCAGGAAGATCAGGTTTTGAGGGGTTTCTTTGTACCTGTAGGTGCTAGAATTGTATTTTTAAGACAAAGTAAAGTGTGAGTCTTTTCCAGAAAGCAACTGATTTGCACTTCCTTCCCTCACCACCACACAAAGAAGAGTTCTTATCATTACAGGATTTACAAAATTGATGAGCTTCACTCCAGAGCACTGTAAAGCACAGCCTGTCTCCCTCTGAAGGGCTACAAACAAGAACTAATGACACAAAGGTGCTCTTCTAGAGAGTAAATTGATTTTCAAAGCAGGAAAATGGCTCTGTAGAGCATTGTTACTGGGCAAAAAGTCAGAAGGAGGGCAGTGTCAGGCCCTCCTGCATTCCACAGCACTAGCCCAAGGCTGGCCAGGCTATAAACAAACCGAGCACTGTGACCATGTCAAACAGTCCCTGCAGTTAATTAATGGAGCACTGACAGCAAGAGGAGTCCCTGTGTCAACAGGTGATATTAAACTCAACGGAACAGGAATAAAGCCAGTGACAAAGTTATAAACTCTGAAATCACATCAAAACCCTTTCGCAAAGGTGCTTTGGCAGTGCCTCGCACAGCTGCAAGGCAAGGCCCACGAGGATGTTATAAAACCCTCCCTGAGGAAATCACCTGAACTTTGCTTTTATGAGCCCAATCAGCTCCAAGGCAGCGTATCTCCTAATCCAGGCAGCCTCAGCCCTAAACCATCTGTCTAGGCAGACCACACAAGGTTCGACCCAGATGGCGTGTGCTCCATGAATAAGGGAATGCAGCGTTCGGGGGTATCACGTCTGGTCACAACCTGAGGATGGCTGCACTGAGAAACCTCCAGCTCCCCTGAGCAGAACTGCAATAGCCAAAGGGAAGAATGGCACTGGAGAAGCACCGGCTACCACGGCTGTGAAGATGTCAAGGTAGGGCCCAAAGAAGGCAAACAGAAGAATCAGAGCCAAAACCAACTGTAACTGAGCTGGAGACATGGCTGGAATCGAATGCTTTCCTACTGCCCTTAATCAAGATAGAGTTTCTGTCAACACTTTCCTCTTTTTTAAAAATCAAATGCGTCATCTGCATTCTCCCCTCACCCCCCCCAGTCAGTTCACCAAGTCAGAGCTCTGGGCATCATGTTTCACAGTTACTTGTGCCCACTGCTACACTGCTGCAGTTCCCAGCTTTTTACTGTGTAAAGTCCATATTGTCCCACAGTGTCAGCACCCTCATCACTGACCTCATCACCGACCCCTTCTCTCTTCCCTTCCCTCCATCCCAGACAGAAGAGAATAGTCAGGAAAAGAAAGAGATTGTATCAATGCCTCAGGTTCATACTCCAAGATTTTTGAAAGAGAGGTAAAAGTTATTGTGACTGAACTCCAGAGGGTCCATTTCAGTCGGATGAAGTCATGGTATCTGTTTCTCAAATCCCTAGGTATCCTCCCAGTCCTGCCTGGTACAGGATGGACAGTGAAACAGCAGTTCACTGAAAGGCATCTCCCTCCTCCACCCACCGACTCAGCTCCCATCAGACAGGAACATTCCAGTGATTTATCGCTCCAATGTGCCGCCACAAAGCTCCTGCCATCCCAACAGGCTGAGCCGGGCACAGCCCGACCCCCGCTGCCCACTCCCTGCAGGCGTTTCAAAACACCTGAGCAGGATTCTGGCAGCACAACCACATCCATCTCAACCCAAAATTCTTTCTCTCCACCGTGGCACTCATCTATCTGAAGTGAGCTGAGGAAATTTCTTTTCATTAATAGGGCCATTTCCCCAATTAGCAGGCACTGCGTGCGTTTCCCTGAGCGTGACTGCAGGCGCACTGTAACCCTACACAGCTCCGGCGTGGATTTAAAGCCTGACCCTGCTCTCCCCCACATCCATCACCTCCTGTGTCGACACAGGTGTCCCCAGCCAGCTGGGGAACCCTCACCCCCGTTCTGCAGGATCAGCTTTCACCTGGTCCGTGGAGCTGCTGGGGCAGCAAAGGAGGATCTGCTCTTCTCACTTTCAAAACCACTTCAAATTCCTTTTATAAAGCAACTACCTGATTAAAACCTTAATTTCCTTTCCAGGTCTGCCCTCTCACTGAGCTAAACGTGCCTCCAGAGCAGCACAGCCATATCCACACAGAGGAATGGGCAGTGGGTTCCTCTGGATGTCAGGTTTCTTTTGAGTAACTACACTCTGGCACGTTCCAGAAGAGTGCCTTGGCATGGTTTAGATTAGTTAGCTTTGAAAAAGGATTAAGCTAAATTGAAACAAGCATTCCTATCCCAGAATAAGACTGATCCAACAGCAAGCACTGGAGGTATTTTGGAATAACTTCACACCTCGCTCTAATCCAAATTAGCTTTAAAATACTGACACGATTCCATCACAGATGTCATCAGTGTCTTTTTCTCAGTGTAGCTGAGAATTTTGTGCCAAAAGCAGGAACAGCAGACCCTGAATGGACAAAGGACCTTCCAGCTGTGCAGGACATTGTGTCAGGGAAAGGATGCAGCATTTCAAGATGAGAAATAGAGGTCAGAAGCACAGAGAACAGAGAGTTTGAGTTTGAGGGAGTAGCAAGGGCCAGACAGGCTATTGAGAGGGACTAATATGTGATAGGACAAAATAAAAGAGGAGAAATTTAGATTGGATATTAGTGAGAAAGCCTTCCCTGTGGGGCAGTGAGGCATAGGTTGCCCAAAGAATCTGCCTCATTCCTGCAAATGTTTAAGGCCAGGTTGGACAGGGCTTGGAGCAACCTGGGATAGGGGAAGGTGTCCCTGCCCATGGCAGAGGGGTGGAATGAGGTGAGCCTTAAGAGTCCCTTCCAACCCAAACTGGTCTGGATTTTAAGGAGGGCACAGAGATATGCTCTTCTCTGCCACCTCACAGTGCAATCAGATGAACTCCTGGTCACCTGGGGATGACACCTCATCACAACACACCAGTGGAGCTTCACAAGCTACAGATGTTACTTATGGCAAATCCCAACAGGATCAGAAAGCAGAAAGAAAATAAGAGCAGACACAAACAGGATATTCCAAACTATTCCAGCAGACAAGTGCAAAACCAGTCGATCCACATGCCTCAAAACCTAAGATGGGCAACCAGGAACAAGCAAAAGAAGCTTCCCCAAGGCTGAGGCAGCTGCACAGCAACGTGCTGAGGCAATTCCAGTGCCTTCTGCTGGGCTCCAACACCAGCTGCTGCTTCCACACAGGACACTGCACTAACCTGGCAGCTTCTTTATTGTCCTCAGACCCTGAGCTTCCCATCCCTTTTTTAGGAATAATAATGCATACAAAGCTCCCAGATGCTTTTCAGTGGTTAATGTGTATACTGGACCATTAGAAAGGGTTAGAAATTGCCTCTGTGTAGCTACAGTCCCACCACCACAGCCTGGCAGGAGCCATCCCAACCACCTCCTGAACTACTTCCATATGATGTCAGAAGCCTGGGAAAGCCGTCCTTGATGCTTGCTTTTCACTGAGCAGGGTGAAATGGACGCTTTTAGCACGCTCTGGATCTGCAGCTTCTCCCTCCTCCCCGGTGCCCCTCCCTCCACTCAGTGTTCAGCTGTGCTTCTCTGCAGCACAGAATCAACACCGGATTCACCATCCCGGGGACAGAACTGAGGCAACGCTGCTGTTCCATCGTGCAGGGTCCAAACTGGGAGACAAAGCCTTTATCTCTCCCCCTCCATCCGAGAGCGGAGCCAGCAGGAAGCTCCGGGGACAAGGGAGGGGCGAGGTGCTGGCACAGCCATCGCTGTCCTAACGGCCCGGACCCGCCCTCACCCCCGAAAATAAACAGCCCCGACAGCTCACCCTCCCTAAAAGAGATCCCACAAGTTTCAGAAGACACGAAGATGGGGCAGTCTAAGAATATCAGTTCAAGGAAAGATAAATTATTTTTAGCCAGTATAACCTCACCTTATTGTTAGATTAAGTTAAAGGTCCACTAGCTTAAAAAAAGCACCGCGCAAAAATAGCTCCCTCGATGCTTTTTCTGTTACTTGAGCCCGGCTTCGCCTGGTTGGCTTCCCTCCTTTTCCTGTGAAGCAGAATTCGGCCTGAGAAGAAGCAGCAGGGTGAGATCGTGAAATACACCTTTCCGCCAGATTTTGTGATGTTTTAAAAGACTCAGAACTTCACATCACTCCCGAGCAACCCACCCAAGCCCAAGGCTTGTCCCAGCACCGCGATCCCACAGGGAGAGCGGGAACGCACCGGCTCGGCGCGACAGCGGCCCCGGCCACGGGCTGAGCGCCCAGAGCCGCCTCCCTCCCCCGCTTACCGAGTCGCGCCCTGGGCCCCGTTAGCGACACATGGGCTGCGGGCGGCGCCGCGTCCTCACAAGCAGAGCGGCTCTGGGGAAGCAGCGCCAAGGCCGAAGCCGGGGGGGTCCCAACCCGAGCCCCCTCAGTGCCCTCAGCGCCCCGCGCGGCGCCGCCGTTAACGCATTTCAAACGGGGCCCGCCCGCCCGAACACACCAATCGGCGCCCGCCCTGCGCCCCCGCCGCGCGCCCATTGGCCGGGCCCGCCGCAGGGCCCGGATGAGGCGGCCCCGCCGTGCGGAGTCGGGCGGTGCCCGCAAAGGCCACTGGGAAATGCGGTGCCCGTTAGAAGTGCGCTACCGAGCGGCGGCGAGATGTGAACCACAACTCCCGCGATGCACAGCGCGGCGAGCTCGGCCAATCAGGCGAGGCGGCGTTTTGAGTGACACTCGGAATGCCCTATCAGCGGCCAGTGGGCGGGTACCGGGTCGGTGCCAGCGGGGCCGGGCGGCAGCTTACCGTGGCCGGCCCTCACCCGGCAGGGGGCGCCACAGCCCCGCCCCGGGCCCGGCATCTTCGCGCCTGCGCGCTGTTCTCGCCGGCCGCGCGCGCGCGCACCGCGCCCCCGCGCCGTCCAACCGACGCTCCCCGCCCAGCCCCGCGGCGCCGAGCGCATGCGCACCGCCTCCTCTCCCGCCCCCTCCCACCCGGCCGCGCCCCCTCAGCCGCTCGGCGGGCGATGCGGGAGGAGCCCCGGCACTGCTGAACGGGGCCTACGCCCGGCGGGCCTCCCGGTGACCTCCGCGGCGTCGCTGCCAGCCGGGCCCGTGGGGCAGGGCCGGCAAGGACGCGGACCCACAGCCGGCCGCTGAGGTGAGGGGCGGGAGAGGGCAGGCCGTGAGTGACGCGCGGCTCAGCCAACCGGGAGGGCGCAATGCCGGGGCCCCGCCCCTGCGGGGGCTCTCGCTGGTGCCGATTGGCTGGCGGGCCGTGCACCGTGTCGGGCCTCGTGCGCGGGCCCCGCCCCCCGGGTACGGCGGCCGGGGGGGGAGGGCCGGGACCGGCCCGGGCACCGAGGGGGGGCGGCCCGGGGGCTTGAGGGGGGTCCGGTAGCGGTGGGAGCCGTCCAGTGGGCTGGGGGGGGCCGGCTCCCCCCTGTGGCACCCCCGGGAGCAGGGTCGGGCGGCGGCAGCCCCCGGGCGGGCCGTGCCTTGCGAGCCCCGCTGGCGATCGCTCGCCCGCCGGTTTCCAGCGGTTCATCCCCTCCGCCCGCCGGGGCCGCGGTTACACCATCAAAGCGGGCCGCGCCGGCGCTGCCGTGACCCTTGGGCAGCGCCGCCGCCGCCGTTGGGCAACATCGGGCCGGCGGAGGGGGCGGGGGCACCGGGCCCTTTAACGGGCGGGGCGGGGCGGGGGCGGGCAGGGGCGGTGCCGCCGCCGCGGCGCTCCGGGACTGGCGGAGCGCGGCCGGGCCGGCCCGCAGCTCCAGCACAACGAGAGCCGCCTCCGCCCCGGCCCGGCCCGCTGCCGGTCTGCCAAGGCGCTGCCCGCACCCGGTGAGACCTGGGGGCTGCTCGGGGCGAGCCGGGGGGGCCCCCGGGGCCTGGGGGTGGTGTCCCGGGAGGGGGGTGTTGCGGTGGGTTCTTCGATGCGGTGGCCCCCCCCGAGATTCGGCGTAGAGCTGCGGGGGTGAGCTCGGTCTAAGGATAAGCTGTCGGTGGTAATGGCGCGGGCGCATCTGAGAGCTGTGGCATTAACCGTTTCGGTGCCTCTCTCCTCCTCTGTGCGAAGGTCAGATGTCGCCATCGATCGCGAGGAAGAGGAGCGGAGCCGGGACCTGCTAAGCGCCGATCTGCTTGTGCCCCGGACCATGGACTCATTGAGGGCGCCCCAGGTGTGAAAATGTCCAGCAGTAACCGGGAGTTGGTGATTGACTTTGTTTCCTACAAGCTCTCGCAGAAGGGGTACAGCTGGAGCCAGCTGGAGGAGGAGGATGATGAGAACAGGACTGACTCTTCGGCGGCGGGGGAGGACGAGATGGACGGCGTCCTCAACGGGAGCCCCTCCTGGCACGTAGTGAACGGGGCCACCGTGCACCGGAGCAGCCTGGAGGTGCGCGAGATCCGGCGGGCGGCCGACGTGAGGCAGGCGCTGAGGGAGGCGGGGGACGAGTTCGAGCTGAGGTACCGGCGGGCGTTCAGCGACCTCACCTCCCAGCTCCACATCACCCCCGGCACGGCCTACCAGAGCTTCGAGCAGGTGGTGAACGAACTGTTCCGCGACGGGGTGAACTGGGGCCGCATCGTGGCTTTCTTCTCCTTCGGGGGGGCCCTGTGCGTGGAGAGCGTTGACAAGGAGATGCGGGTACTGGTGAAGCGCATTGTGTCGTGGATGACCACGTACTTGACCGACCACCTAGATCCCTGGATCCAGGAGAATGGCGGATGGGTAAGAGCTCCTCTCTGCAGTGGTGGTTGGGGGGTTGGTGGCTGCCCGTGGCCTCCCTCGCTCCAGGCTGGCAGTGGGGCCGGTCAGACCGGAGCAGTGTTTGTGCTGGTGCTTGTCCTGGCCCTTGCAGGGAGATAAAGGGGCGTGTGTGGCCTTTCCCTCTCTGTTCTTAACACACTGTCCCAAGAGGGTCAGTCCACCACAATGACACAAGCAGTTTGTGCTCAGACGTGCCCTTCTCCCCGTTTCTTCTCCATCTCCCTGGATGTTACGTAGAAGACCTGTTTTCCTTTGGAAACCTAATGTCATCCAAGCTTGTTCTTCAAGCAGAGCTTTTGCTCTGGGGGATATTCCTGATGTCATTAACAGCAGGGAGCGGAGCTTCCTCCTCTCCAAGGCAGTGCTGTGGTGGGCTGGCTGGTGGTTTCCCGAGGTAACAGCTACTTCTTCATTCTGGAGACAGCACTCTGCCTTGCTCGTGGTGAAGTGAATCCCACAGCAGATCCCAGCGGGTGGGTGGGCGTCTGGGACCGTCTGAGCTGGTGTGGTGGGAGCCCAGAGCTGAGGTGGGGGCAACCTCTGTGCTGGGGAGCTGCTAAACCTGCAGCTGCTTCTCCCTTGGCGGGGAGCAGTGCTCCCAGCCGCCCCAGCAGCAAACCCCGGGAGCTCTCAGTGGTGAGGTATTAACATGAATAAGCATTTCTTCAGGAAGCATTCTTGAAATGCCGGGTCCGGCTGTATGCGGTGCAGCCTGGGACTGCCGGCGGGAGGTATATGACCTACAGATGTCTGAGTTTTCATTTGGCGTCTGCATCCCAGTGATTCCCTGCTGGTGTAACCTTTACCGGTTCCCACTGGAAAAGAGTTCATGCTGTCAGGCATCAGCATCTAAACGGTGGGGAATCGCCTCCTTGCTGGGAGCTGAGGCCTCATGGCCCTCTTCAGCTCACGGTCCATCAACAGAACCCCATATTTTTGGAAGGGGACAGGAGCCTTAGAGCTCAGCATTGTGCTCTGCACCCTCCTGACAGAGGAAAGGCTCTTCCCAATTCCCTGTGCCTGGCCAGCAACGCTGGGGACCCCGGAGAAGAGGGGGAGCCGGTGCACCCAGGGAGAGGGAGTCAGTTCAGGAAGGGTGCAGGAATTCCAAGAATGTGGCCGCCCTGGGGCACTGCTTGGGTGGGGCTGCTCAGGCAAGGAGAGGAGCTTGGTTTCGATTAATAACCCTGGATCTGCTGGCCATTTCATCTGGCTGTATCTGGCCCATTAGCTCTCTCATCCTGCAGATAACCCTGGCCAAATTCAGAGGTCCTTCCCCCTCCCTCTGGCCTTGGCTTTTAAAGCCACAGATTAGTCTTGGAATTGAGTGATCAAATTGAGGTTTCCAAGCTAGTGTGGCTGTTGCTGTTAGTGACGGATTGGGCTGTATCCTGGAGACCTAGGCGATAATGCAATCTGATTTTTTGTAAATGAACTCTCTGGGGGATTTAGATTAAATCACTGGTGGAAAATCACTGGTCCCTGCTTGCAGAGAATGAAATACCTCCTCCCTGTGTTCCCCACCCCCAACCATCACGATTCAGACTCTTCAATTTTTTTGTGTCTGTCTCTAAATTAATTGTTTGGAGCAAATATTTGTTCAACAGATTGCGGAAGGGTCAGGACTCCTCTCTATCTGACCCGCCCACCAGCTCTCGCTTTGAAAATCGCCGTTTCCCACTCAGGGGACAGCCTTGCTCTCTTGTTCTAACCTTGAACCGGGCTTCTAACTTCCCTCCCCTGGCTGTGCTGCTCTGCTGAGAGCTGGAGGGGAGCTGGGCAGGGCGATGAAGGCCAAAGTGGGGGGGATCCACCTCACAGCCACCTAAAAACCAGGGCCGGGCGTGTGGCTGCTGCCAGCCTGTTGCAAACCACAAGCAGTGCCTGTTCGAGGTCTCAGCCATTGCTTTCCCCCAC